TTTGTTGGTTTTGTGCATTGAGATAACAGCATTTGCAACACTTCTTTCCAGGAGCTGAAAGGAATAAGCAGTACTCAATGATTTGCCTGCATATAGGCCTTAAAACCAGCTATTTCTGAATCCAGGTCTTATTCTGGAGTGGGTATATACATACAGTTTTCCAAGAATGCCACCTTCTTGTTATTTGAAGGTGTTATTATTTGTATGGAAATTATCAGATTGGTGTTTGTAACAAACCCTTTCCCTTGGTTGCTTCTGTAGGCGGTTTCGCAAAGCTTATGCTTCCTTTTCTCTAGGACGCTTGTCAAAGCTGTACCATTTTCTGAAGACTTATGCTGACTTTCTAGCCTAATTTTAGACGATAATTTGACACTAAATACCTTTTTAGAATTTAACTGAAGCTTAAGAGACTAGTAAGGAACTGAAGCAAGTTCTAATGTAGTCATTTTTTTCAAAAAATAATAAAAATTATTTTTATAAAAATTGAATCCTTTTCACCAAAGCAATTTCCCTATGAAACCTCTCCTTAAGAAAGTTCCGTGACCTTTGTAAAGATAACAGCAACTTAACTACATTTTTGCTAGAACTTTATGAAGAATTATAAAATTGCATTTTGATTGTGAGAAAGACTATTATGTTCTTAAAGCAGCCAACCTTAAGTGAACTGTGGGAGAGCACACTTTGTCATGTTTCTGGCATTTAGCACTGAAAATATGTTATTTTCTTCAGTGCTGCATATTTTTGCTAAACAAATCTTGTCTTAAGCTAGATGTACTAAGTGCCTTAAAGTGTGGTCTATGCTGGCTGGTTTTGTTTTCCATCTACAAAACTAATTACTGCCCATGGGAATTCCTTTTAGAGGAACATGGGTGGGGGGGGTAGTGGGTTAAAAGTGCATCTTTTATTCTGAATACATTTTTCCTTTTTTTCCCTTCCTTTATTTAAAAAATAATTTTGTTCCTAAACTGCTCTCAGCAAACCTTCCTATTGTGGACTATGAATTAATTGGAAAACAAACTTCACTTAAATAGTTTTTTTCATAACCTGTGTGGGTCCATATGGACATTGGGGTTTGCAATTCCTCGAACACTACTGCTCATGTTCTTAAAATGGAATTCCCAATTTTTGTTTTCAGTTTATTTAGCTTAAAATAAGGTGTCTTTGTAGACTTCAAAAACAAGATGTTTCATGGGACTTGCATGTTTACTTTTTTTCCAAGACATTCTGCATTGTCATTGTGCAACCTGAAGGTAGCAGTTTTTAATTTTAGAATTGCTTTTGTATTTAAGTTTTTAACTGCAAGGAAGCACACTATTGTGTGTTACAATAGAAATCCCAATATTTTCTAATTGTTGAGGTTTTCTCTCAGTCTTGTGATGTACTCATGCTTTCTATGAGCTGTGCTCATAGAAAATGGAGGGAGGACAGTAACTTTTGAAGTTTTTCTTGGGAAAAGTTGCTTTGATAAAACTTAGAATAGATGGGCTCTTAGAAGAATATTTGTTCCCCTGTCTATTAAGAGGAGCAGTGTTCATACTTGTTCTTATGTGAGTCATCACAAAAATAATGGAAAATAATAGTGGATTCATTTTGTTCCCCGCAAGTCCTATGGGGTTTTCTTCCTGCAGTTCAGAAGGCAGAGTATTCTTGGACTTGGTGAATTCTGCTGTTTCTATTTGTATTGGTGGCTGTCTGCTAATTCTTTGTCTATTTATGTTTCTAAAACTGTTGCATTAGTGAAGATCACTATCACTTAATTAAGAGCTATTACTTTCAGGTGTCTTTTGAGTGAACCTGTTTCTTTAAGTCTTTTTTGAAACTGGAGAACAGATTCCTGAAGAGCTGACTTGTAGTGCTTATTTGAAACCTTACTTATCCTTGTGGAAACGGAACTGTTTTGAGAGACTTGGAACATTTGGAAAAACTCACTAAATGTTGTGCTGACATAAAAACTTTTGTGCCAAGTATCTCAGCTGAATTGTCTGGTGACTCTGACTTTTGCCTGCCACATATTACACAGAGATTCTATGAGGTAAAACATAGCCATGGCTAAGAGAAAAGGGTAATGTACACAAGGAGATACAAGTGTATACTCCTTAGCAGCTAATTTCTACAGTTTTATTGATCCCCACTGATGAAAATTTAGCGGTGGATTCTCTTAATTTGCATTCTAACTTTCTGAATCTTTGTATTTACTTTTTCAGATGCTTTTAAATTGTCCTCCATGTGTTTTCCCAAGAAAATTTTCCATTTAACGCATATTTGAGGATAACAGTGCAATTCCAGGAACTTGAGCTGTGATTAAAAATATAAACTCTTGTGAGGTTTTTGATGTATGCTGTTATTGTTACTGTTTGGGTTTTTTCCTGCTCTATGTGCTAAAAGTGAGTGTAGGCAATCATTTTAATGCTGCATTGAGAGAGCATGATACTGAGCTGTGTGAACATGACCCAGTTAATAAAAGGCTGGAACATTTAAAAAAGGTTTTGGGTAAAAAAAACCAAAAAACAAACAGGAGGATGCCAACTGTTGCTGTTTTTATCAGCTTTTTCCAGTAATTAGATTTCAATTCAAATGGTATTTTACAGATTGCAAGGTATTCTAGCTCAGGACTTTAAGAGGAGCAGGGAGTGGATGGTTTATTTCTTTATTTCTTTCTTTATTTTTATGATTCTGCAAACAATTCCAAGCATCTGAGCGGCAAACTGAAACATCTTAGACTTCACAGTTTTATGATTAATCCAGTGTAAGTCAGTGCTGCTGCTGAAAGGGTCATACTGCTACTGCTTTTGTGCTGACACAGGCAATTGCTGAAGAGTTGCTCTGGTTGAACACTAAGTCTCTGCCAGGTTAGCATTCAGTCAGAGCAATTTCTTGTTCCAGTTCATGATATGGCCACACAAACTGTAGTTCTGGACAGAAGCGAAGGTGGAAACTAGCAGTGGCAGTGAGAGAAGGGACCTTTTAACTGAAGACCAGTTTATAGAGATGAAGTTGAAGCCACTCCCCCTGCATTTCTTCTGACTTGCTTAGCTGTAAGGCACTTTATTGCTGGTTTATTGCTTTTTATGACAGTAAAAGTAAACTGAGGCAAATTTGTCCCTAAAGGTGATAGGAGCTTCACAGGTAGCTGTGGCTCTGGGGTAATTTCCTTGTTCTTCAGGAGATGTAGGCACTTGAAGAACAAGGAAATGATGACCTGACACATAAACCTTTTATTATTCCTGTTGATATGGCATCCACATGTTTTAGGCATAAATACAGTCATGTAAATGACTGTCCCTTGGCCTTCTCCTTTGCTTGGGAGCCAGACTCTTCTCTGTCTCTGTATGGATTGCCCTACAAAGCTGTTAGCCAAAGTGTTTAGAGAACATTGTAGCAGCAGTGTGAAAAGTATTATGGAAAAATATTTTACAAGGTGCAGGTACATTTCCTTTCAGGTTTGAAGGGATTTGAAAAATTGTTATTTCAGTGTAAGAAAATAAAAACTGTAGTCAGAATATAGAGGTACAACAAATTTACATGAAGTTATTTCCCTTCCCTTCCCTACTTTCATCTCATGCTACAGTAGTTTACAATATAGTGTTGGGCACAAGTTGCATAATCTTACGCTAAAATTTCTTAGTAAATATGCAGGATGGATAACTGATTTTTGCCTCAGATGAGTATTTAGTACACTTATTATCAAAAGTCTTAGACTTGTGTGCTGTGAAGATCAAAAATACCTTTTAAATATAATGTTAGTAAGAAAGAGCAGGATAGGAACAGGAGCATAAATCAGGTTGCATGGAACAATGTTACACTGCCTTCATCAAACCACCTTTCTTTCAGCAGAGACAAGTGTTTCTGCAGTTTCTGCAGTTAGACTTGGGCATTTTGAATACAAGAAACTTCTCAATGTTGGTGCACTAATTATTTTGGTGGTAATACCCACAAACCACTGCTTCTTGGTAGGTAGGACCTTGGCAGCTATGGCAGTCTTGTTTTCAGAAATGGGAACTAGACTTCATTACTCATTACCTTTTTATGTGGGATTCCTGGAAATCCGGTGATGGAAACAAGGAGATCCAGAAGAAAGTCATACTTAGCTTCCTGAAGAGGTACAACAGTATTCAGGCTCATTGCTTGACTGCTACTGTTTAAATATGTCTTACTCATCTTGTGAAAATAAAAGATTTAATGGGATTTGGGTGCTTGAAATTGTACTTGAGGTAGTTGAGCATAGGCTGTCAGCTAGGTTTGCTCTTAATAGAAACTTATGTTTCACTGCTTTAACATTATGTGCTCAGTGAACATTAGGGGTGTTTAGAGAACAGCTCTTTCCAGATCTGGAATGTGCAGCTGAGCAGTGATGTGTACTTTCTGATCAGCTGATGAAATGTGGGTTTGGATGTGTGATTTTTGTAAATGACTTCCAGATGTTACAGTTGCCAGCTGAGTGTCTCAAGACTGCACTGTTAGGTCTATGTTATAAAACAAAATGGATGAATTATGCAGAAGATAAAGTGGTGAGCCTGTACTTGCAATTGTTCTCTCTCTGTCAAAAAAAAAAAAAAAAGACAAGGTGATTCTGTGGTCATATTGCTCACAAGCAATGGCAGAAAAATATGGATGCTCTTAGACTGGGATGCCTACATGAACATATAGCCCGTAAAGAGCTTGGGCAGTCTAATAGATAGCACAAAGGAATTTTATGTGTAGCTGAAGTGTTAAGAGCTTTGAGTTATCCTATATCTCACTTCAACTCCTTGTGCTAAAACGTTACAGTTGTGGTGTTAGAACTGAAATCTGATCTCCCGCAGTGTCTTTCAGTATCGTTTTTGTACAGCAAATGTCAAAGTTCGTTTTGCAGTTTCCATAGAATTTTCATGAACTCTGTATATAACTCTGTATTTTTCTATTTGCAAAAATTTTTTTCAAAAGATCTAAACACTCATAGTTGCTGGGAGAAGGGTTTGAGATTGAAAGCAGAGTTTGATTTCTCTCTTTCTTTTGCCCAGGAGTTCTGACGTAACCATGATAGAAGACAAAGGTCCACGAGTGGCTGACTATTTCGTAGTGGCAGGGCTCACTGATACAGACACCGCAACCCTCCTGGACCAGGAAATCAGCCGACATGAAACGAAGTCAACTGGTCCCAAGGCTCCAATTACTGACATTGCTGTGATAATTAAATCAGCTGGTGAAACTGTCCCAGAGGGATATACCTGTGTTGAGGCCACCCCTACAGCCCTCCAAGCCAACTTAAACTATGGGAGTCTAAAGAGTCCTGAACTTTTTCTGTGCTACAAGAGAGGCCGGGACAAACCACCTCTTACTGACATCGGGTGAGATTTCTATTGCAGTTCAGTTCCTCCTTCAATAATGATAAAATTTTACTCTTAATAGATGATGGTGAAAACAGACGTGAAAAAACTTCTTAAAAAGTCCTCTTTGAATCTGTATTCCTGAGTGTGTGTTTCTGTATCGAATTCATTGAACAAAGTGTCAGTCTTGTAGTGAATATGTCTTTTTACAATTAATGATAATGTTTTAATTTAAAAGATGGGAGAGAGAGATGAAGCTGATAAAATATGAGAAATTAAGTTCTCTGCTGCAGTTTTGTGAAAGATGATTGAATAACACAGAATTAATTTGTAGAAAATATGTAGTCCAAATCCAGAAACATTAACATGCTGAAAATTATGACTTCAGAAGTCAAAAATTATCGCTTTGGAATTCACTTTAATGCTTATGGTGAAAGATATAACTTAAAAATATATAAGGACATTGTAGAACTACTGGGGATGTAATGAGAAAGAAAATAGAGCCTGGTTGTGGGGTGGTGTTAAAATTATGGCAAAATAAAGAATGTGTATTTTTCTCCCTACTTAGTTATTAAATAAATAGTAGGGAGTAAAAATCATGCATCTATATATATTCTATAATACTTTTAGTTATTTTCATTTATAAACGTAAATGCTTTGGCTTGAAGCCTACATACCCTGTTTTTGACCTATAATTTATGTGCTTACTGACAAACAGTGTCCAGTCATGGGGAGACTGATAGTGTAATCTGAATAACAAAAGCAGCTTCATGGCAAGACAGTTCACTCCTAAGGATTATAGTTTGAGTTGTATAATTAAGCTGGTACATTCTAACTTGTGTTCATCTTGGTCATGTAACCTGCATTCCAGTAGGTGATTTTTAACCTAATCTTTTCCCATGTGTATGACTGGCACTGCAAGAAGAGACACTACAGTGTGAAGTTACATTTTATCTGATTTTTTGTACTTCATGAAGTTCTTACAGAAGAAAGAATTTCTACAGGGAGTGTTTCCTCAAAGGAAGTAATGAAAAATCAGTCTTCAGCATGTGCCTTTAAGGAAGCAGCTTGGCTAGCATATGTGTATTTGGTGTGTCTCCCACCTTAGGAGCTTGAGTGTTTGGGGAGATTTTGTAAACAAAGTAGGCAAGTAGTCGGCTGAGATGATGGCATTAGGCAAATAGTATTTATTCTGTATTTTGTTGTAGACAGATCTAGTTAGGATGTCACACCTAACACATTATGGCAGTCTTTTCTCTCTGAGCAATGATGCATATTCTCCCCCTGCTGTTCCTCCTGCTTTGCAACTATATGCAAGAGATGGGTAGAGCAATCTTTTTTTATTTGGGTTTTTTTTTCTGTGAATTCCATTGTGTTTAGATAAAAGCAGAATTCAGGCAAGAAATGTATATCCAATCTGAAGGCTAATTTATGCTGCTTTCTGTTACTTTGTCAAAGAACCAGTGTGAAATAATATTTTACCTTTGAGCCAGTCTGACATGCTGAGTGAACTCAATATGTACAGGAAGAGTACGTCACTTCAAATGGCGAGATGTGTATTCTTACATTAAGAGTTAAAATTGAGTTATGTCACAGTCAGAGCATTCAAATGATTCTTGATGAATGTTTTTGTCTGTCTATGTATTTATTTCAGTGTTCTTTTTAGGGAAAGTAGTTAAACAAATGCTATTTGGTGAAGAGGGAGATAGGGGTATCCTCTACTGTTTGTCTGCAGCTTTCCTTGTGTTTGTATTTCTGTGTGCTACATCCTCATTCCTTTCTATTTGTCCACTGCTTGTTGAATCAAAGTGTCTGTAAGTTGCTAGAGTGAATTTTTGCTGCAGTTACTTCCTTGCACACAGTTAGGCCATGGATGTTACATTTCCCAGAATTAATCAGATTAATTAGTTGGACAAAATATTAGTTGGAAAAATAAAGGTTCATTCCTAGGATAAAAGATCTCTAAGATCCTCTTCATAAATGTGGCTGTAAAATGTAGTATCTTAAGCTTATATGTCTATGAAATAATTAATTTACTGTCATTCTGTTGTTTTCTTCACCAGTTTTTTTGCTGATGTTCCAGAAAAAGACAAGAACTGAGATTAGAGATCTGTTTTGGTTATGTGGAGCGAGACTTTCAACCAAAATCTCACTTCTTTGTTTTACACTTCAGTTAGGAATCTGTTAGCACTCCAGCATATGTTTCTTACACTGAAGAAAAAACAGACAGAAAAATGGTTTTTTAAAGTAGAAGTGGTTTTGCAATTCATAACACTTGGTATAGAAAAGAAAGAATATCAGATTTCTTGTCTGAAGCAGAGGTTCTTGTAATACCAAGTAATGCAAAAATTAGGTAGCTTGCTTTATGTAAGTAAAGAAATTATGATTTTTAAATTTCTAAAAATTTTTTTAAAGTGGTATGGGAGGCTTTCATTTGCTTAGGGTTTCTTTGCTAAGGACCTTGTGATTCTATATGTATGATTTCTGAAAATGTCTGCAGGTATATCATTTGAACAAATTGATGATGATGATCTTCTTCATTAGAGATGTGTTTCCAAAAAGAAAATGAACCCAAATTTCAAGAAGGGTGATAGAAACTGGAGGATGTTCTCCGCAGTCACCGTCTTCAATTGTTCCTTAATCCCACCACTGTGACAAATGCAGCTGGGTGTTTAGAACAGTGTAGGGTAATAATGATGAAGCTAGTAACTTGTTTGTTCAGACAAATAATAATAAACATGGCAGTAGAAATAAAAGTCTTTTAAATAATAAAAGTCTCTCAGTCTTTTCCCTTTTCTTGATCCACCACTTTTCTGACCTTACAATATTTACGTAAGTTCCTTTATTATTTCAATACTTGAAAAATGAAAGAGGAAGAGGAGTTATAAAGGCGTATTTTGCCTAAGAACTCTGAAAGACAGGATCATGTTTGGACCTAGAGAAGGAGGAGTCAAACTGGACAGCAGTCTTACACAAATGCAATTCACAAAAGTTGACTGTTTTGAAATGGTTTTCCAGAAGCAAAATTTTCTATGGTTTATGGTTTTTAACTCAATAGCCACAAGGTTGTATTTCTTCTTTCTAAACTCTGGTACCTGATGCATAGAAGTACACTTTTAAATCAGTAGAACTGGGTGTGAGAGAACTTCCACATACAACGTCAAACAGTCTTACAATGAGATGATAAGATTCTTTTGGTCTTTCTTGCAAAGGACTAACATCTAGAGGAAACTGGTTTTCATTTTGCTTGAAGTGAAACTGTATTGACATTGATAGAATAATGTAGCAAATAATGTGTACTTAGGATCGAGAGCAAACTATAAATGTAAAAAGGCAGGAAACAAGTCTAACTGTGATCAGTAATAATTAATCAAAGGCAGACACTTGGAAGTTGAAACAAGTAGAAGTAAACTTACCCTGTCAGGGAGGACATTGTATGCACAGGGTGTCAGGTGCACTATTTCATGCATCACTTCTGAATATTTTCTCTGAATCATTAAAACCATTGTTTAATTTCAGTAATTCATGGGTGGTGGCTTTCTTCTGTTTGCTTGCAGATACAGCATCGTACTATAAGTTGAGAACTATGCATGAGGTTAGGAAGTAGTGTGGCTTTAATAATACTTCTCTAGTGTACATGTAGAGGTGTGTGTTGCTTTCATTTTCTTTTTTCTTTTGGTGAGAGGTGAGCCCACTGATAAAGTCTTGAACACTTAAAGTATTTTTCTTACAATACTTGTAAACCTATTAAATTGGAGTGCTGGAACAGTCTGATTAATTCTGTCCTTCTCATAAGCTGACAGCTGACAAATCTTTCTGGAATAAATTTATAATTTTTATTTTATTTAAAATACATGAAACTGAAATAAAACTGAAACTTTTATTGGAGACTGCTCTGTTAGTATTTTCTTCTGATTGATGTAGACAGTGATGTGAAGAATTCATGTAAACGCCTTATGCACTATGGATGTGCCCTGAGAGCTGCCACCATTGTAGTTGTTTGGGCTCTTTAACTTTTGTTTAAAGTTTGTTTGAGGTTCTTTAACTTTATGGAAAGGGTAACCCAACAAAAAGAGCAAAATAAGTGTTTTTCCAGAATGTTACTCTAGTTTAGAAGTAGTTCAGATACACGTACTTTTCTATAAATATTTTGAACCAGCAGGTAGTATATTAACACTAATGTTGCGACCTGGAAATGCTGGTACTGGGCTGGTTCTGAGAGTACACGTTGTTTAAAATGTTCAAAGTCTGGTGGTCAGACTTTGTTGTAAAGACAGAGTCTTTGCAACTGAAACCGTTGTTGAATATTGTTGTCCTCCATGAACGAGTTGAATAAATTGGCAGCCTGGTAGCTGCATCAGTCTAGTCACAACTCATGTGAGTTCTTTGTTTTTTTAAAGTATTCTATGACTGTAATTTATGTCTGTCATCAATACTATGACAAGATGTGTTTTTTCTCTTAAATCATAATAAACAGTAATATTTGCATATTTCAATTTAACGATGGAAATAGTCTTTAAGTCATTTTGGAAGTTTAATAATACTTTTTTTTAAAGTTCTGAAGATAGTTGGATATGAAAAAAGACTCTTATTTTGGCTTAGACACATGACTTTTTTTCGAATGTGTACTTAGTACTAGTCTGTCAAACATTTAACCAGAGGGAAGAGTAAATATGTATTGCGGGGTTATTTCTTATTTTAACATTGTGAGGGACTATGAGTGAGAAGCTGGAGATCACAAAGTACAAAGGTTTAATGTGTTACCTTTATCCTAAGTCTTGTTATGATAAAAACTGATTTGAAGGTGACAAGTTCTCTGTATGTACTGCAGAGAACCAAGCAAATGGAGCCACTGCTTATTGGGGTGTGGAATGGGAGATAAAGTTTGCCCTGTAATAGCATCTGTGCATTAAAAATGTTCAGATGTATGTTTTGACTTCCACATTTTTTCTCACAGTGACTTTCTAATAGCTTATGTTAGATAGAGAAACGTTATAGCTTATTTAGCTGCTGTGAAGCTGTTAAGGATCTTTCATTTTTTGCTAAAAATATGATGATCTAAGTTAGTGATCTTGCAAAAATAAAGAAGTCATGCACCACATGAATGTTGCTGTACAGCCATGTATAAGATATACAAGATATATAAGATATATTCTGCTTTCTAGGTGTACAGTCAATTGTACTTACTATTTCTTCCTTTACTGTGGAACAAAGTATTAGTTTGTCTTCCTGCCTCATTGTCTTAAGCACTGTTGTTCAAGCTGTGAATGTCAGTTATTACTGGGCTTGGATTGTTTTTTTCTGTAAAAATTCATCTGGGAAGCAGACTTCTGTCCTCTGCTATGCTTTTCCAAAAATATTTATTTAAAAAACCAACCAACCAAACAAAAAACCCCCCAAAACCAAAAAATACTTAACAAAAAACCCCAGAAAAAAACCCAAGTTTTAAAAGATTTAGCAGTAATTTTAGTGATTAAATTATCCACTGTGGTGTGTCCAAGCAATATAAAGTGGAATTTGTATTTATTTTTCATTGTTAGTGCAGCATCTCAACTAGTTATATAACTAAATCCTTTTCAATGTAGCTTGATTTTATTTTTCTGTAACTCTGGTTTGTTCCCACAGAGAATTCAGTATAGTTTGAAATATTTCTGAGCAGTTTCTTCAGCCTCAGGTGCTGCATGATGAAAGAGAATATGAGATTCATGTTAAAATGTTGCAATGATGACATAAGTTGCTAATGGATGGACAGTTTCTCCAAATTCACTCGAGTAACTTCATATCTATTTGAATGCACATGATAGTGTTTCCTTCCTGTGTGCAGAGTTCTCTACGAGGGGAAGGAACGCATCATTTCAGGCTGTGAGGTGATACAAGCTACTCCGTATGGTCGTTGTGCTAATGTTAACAACAGCTCGGCTTCCTCGCAACGCATCTTCATCACCTACCGAAGGGCCCCTCCAGTGCGACCCCAGAATTCACTGGCAGTGACAGATATCTGTGTTATTATTACCAGCAAAGGGGAAACCCCTCCTCACACGTTCTGTAAAGTGGATAAGAATTTAAACTGTGGGATGGTGAGTATCTGTAAGCTTGAGTTTCTTTTTCTTTCTTTTTTCTTTTTTTAGCCCAACACATGTATTTAAATGAGGAGCTCCTTAAACTCTTCTTAGCACTATTGTAATTGTGTTCTATTGCTACATCAGAATTCCTTCATTCTTTATACCATGTGTGAGATGTCAGTTTTGTAGGTTTTGTTGCTTTGATTTCCTTTCATGTTGGAAATTACTGTTTCATACTGATTATTTGCTACTTCAGTTTCATGTCTAGGTGCTATTTAGGAGTAGTGCAATGAAGTTTTAATTTATTTTTTTTAATTATCTCTCCCACACCCTTTGGGGATGCTGACACTTGGGATAAAGCAGAAATGCTTTTTTCTTAGTTATTTGTAACACCTGTGTTACTAATACATTATAAGGATGATAATTACTGTTTAGAGTTTCTCACTGTACTTTGCTTTAATTGGTTCTCTTTTATTTAGTCTGTTTTGCATTTAATTTACTTGCAGTGGAATAAGTGAGTTTTTTTGAATGGTAGAGTATATGTAGCCAAACTGCAAAAACACTGTGTCAATAACCAGTTTATAGAAGTACAAGAAAAGCTTCAAATTATGAGTTATGATAATTAGAACTTGACTTCCTGTAATGAGGTCCCCATAAGAGTCTACTTTTAAATAACCAAGGAAACTTGAAGGTGGAAATGAATCTGCCTCACTTTTGCTTGTTCTTTTGTTGAAATAGGTCAGAGAGCAGTGTGGTTGTGTGTGATGTGGTTATTTTATGTAAATCCTGTAATCTCTAAGAAGTGAGAGAAGGGTGAATTCTCATTTTTGTCATTTACATGCACTCAGCAGCCTGCTGGTCATTTTGTTCTGTAATGTTTTTTGTTAAAATACCTGATTTGTTTGGAAAGGGAGTATATTCAAATGTTGGATTTCTGTTGCTTGTTGTCATCTTTCCTGGTTCTGAGATGAAACTTGTGTCTTTCAGTGGGGTTCCAGTGTATACCTTTGTTACAAGAAGTCTGTGCCAGCTTCTAACTCTTTAGCATATAAAGCTGGTAAGTAATTTTAGAAGCTGTCTTAACATGTTACCAAAAATATTCAAATGCCTTGTTAAAATAAAATAATAATTAAAAAGATTTAAGTGTTGTCTGTCAGAATACTGGTCCTGGAGGATGTCAGTTGAAATCAGCTTCTATAATGCCTTCTTTACTCAACCTATTTTTTCCCCGGGAAAAAAAAAGGGAATAGCATTTCTCTTTATTATTTTAGTTCTTATCATGACAGGCTTGCTAACTGAGGAGCTTTAGCAAACTTTTGTCTTTGCAAACATTACACATATAAGAAAAGGCTTCCTATTTTTTGTGTTGGTGATAATAGAGAAGGAGTAATAAAAATCCTGTTCAGGTTTATTTGTATTTTATTTTATGCCTAAATATCTTCTGTTTATTTTGAAAGTTTAATGTGTTTCCTCCCTTCAATTCTGAAACTATTTTGTTGTTCCTTAGAAGCTGAAAGAATAGATAACAAAGTTGGTGTTCCACAGAAGAAGCAAGATGAGCAGCAGTAGTAAACCCATGGTTGTGTAGATGTAGCTATATTTTGTGGAAAATATATTGCTTGCAATATTTAGGGCCTACAGAGGAAATGTGCTTACTTTTTTTTTTCTGTTTTTGAGGCTTACTTTTCAGATACCCTCAAGAGAACTATGAGTCATTTCCGCTATCAGACTCTGTACCTCTATTCTGCCTTCCTATGGGAGCTACTATTGAATGCTGGGACCCTCAAACCAAATATCCACTACCAGTGTTCTCAACATTTGTACTGACCTGCTCTTCAGCAGAAAAGGTATGGCTCCACACCATGTTTTTGCTTTTATTTCAAATGGCTGTTATGGAGCTAGATAAGAATTGTTTCTTCTGTGTTTTAGAAATACGTTGTCTGATACTTCCCTTATAAAGTTATATTTCTTAAGCCTTCATGTAAGATGAAACTGAACCAAAACAGGAAGCAGCTGGAAGAGTATGTGCTGTTTACTCATATGTAGGTTGAACCATACAATTGACAAAACCAAACCTCACAGAACATGGTTTTCCCTGTTCTTCCATGTAATGGGAATGGAAGCGTAGGCTATATATTAAAGAGAATTTAACACGTGTGATGTAGCAAATTGTTACAATTTTCACTTGGTTGCCTTAAAAGACACTTCTATGTGACTTTATATAACAGGGCTACATGACTTTCTGTAATAGGGCTCTATACATACCTCTGCAGTGAATTGAAAGCTAGTTACCGGAAGGCAGGGAGAAGAAAAATGTGCACTGAGAGGTAGGATGTGAAAGACTCTAATTTGCATGATGGGATAGATTCAGAACATCTGAATTCTATCTTCTAACATTCAGATTTGTCTGCTGAATCTGTATAAGGCCATCAGCACACAAGGGCACCATAGATGTGTTGTATGACTTAGGTTACAGGCAGGAAGGTAATAGAGGTACTCCTGATGAAGCAAGGGAGCCTTTGCTTAGGGTTGGTCTCCCAGGTGTTGTTTCAGCTTGCCACTTGTGAATGTGTGTGAACTGTATGAGGGAGTAAGTGATTGTAATGTGTGATCGGCTCTGTATCAATGTGCGATTGATTAGGTCTCCAGTAAACAGCAGTTTGGCTCTGTTGATGATAACATCTCAACTTCCACTCTGTCTCACTCCCCTAACAAAAAAATTTACATACTTCTCCATTTCCAAACAGAAGAAAACCACATTGCTTCAAAATATTAATACTTCTTTTGCAAGGAGGAATGCAGTAGCTGTCACTGTTTTTCTTTCCTTATTAATTTTTGCTAAGCTTGCCAGAATAACTCAGTTATGAAACACAGACAAATAAGGAAGGAATATTAGAAATTATCTTTTTAAATTGATAAAATGAGGGAAGTCAAAGATATAATAGTTTTATTGTTTAGTTTGGTAATGATAGGGTAATTTACTGAACAGAAACATTTCATGAGGGTTTGGGTTTGAGATTTTGGGGATGTTTTTGACCCAGATGATTAATGGGTAAGGTTTTGTCACAAAATGATGGTTTGGTTCCTTCCCTTTCAAGTGAGTATGAATACTTTGTTGAGGAAGGTGCAATGAAAATGAGGAAGAGTTCAAGGCATTTTTTTTATATGGCTGCTTTGTGCATGTTATATAAATAAAGTAATTTCATAAGGTACCAGCAAAAGCACTATAGTGTGTACAAACTCCAAAGACTTAAAGATGCATCAAAAGTTCTGGGCCATATTCCTGTTAAATACTGGGCCTGCTTAGTTGTTTTTCTTCATCTTGTAGGTTTACGGTGCTGCTATCCAGTTTTATGAGCCTTATCCCCGGGAGCTGCTAACAGAAAAACAGCAATCACAGCTGGGTCTTCTGACAACTGTAGAGAGAAAAGTGATTACTTCCAAGTCCATCAATTCAAACAAATGCATCTGTCTTCTCTCACACTGGCCCTTCTTTGATGCATTTCGAAAATTTCTTATGTTCATCTACAAACTCTCTGTCTCTGGACCTCATCCTCTTCCCATTGAAAAGTATGTAAAAGATTTTTGAAGTTGCTGTGGGAATGTAGTTGTAAGCTCAAGAAATCATGTGATTTGTACATGTCACAGTTGCTTAGTTGCTATAGTTGATCCACCATCATGTTTGCGCTGTTTAGCTAATGTTGTACTGATAGAAATTATTGCTGCTTCTGTGTAACAGTACTGGCTCTTGCAGTGCCAGCAAAGCTAACTGGATTTTAGTCTGGGTCTTTTTTAGAATATGTCAAGCCTGTTTACCTTTCTTTTAGCTACATCAAGCACAGAACAGGCTGTGCTGTGATATGTGCTACATTTCCAGTCCTGTGCTTTAGCTTAGTAAATATAAAGCTCAGGAATGCTGCACATCAGCGGTGAATATCTATGTCTGTTTCCAGGCACTGCAGCTAGTTCATGTCTATGAATATGTGTGCAGACTCTGCAGAGGATGCTTGTCATGCTCCTGAAAGTTTGCTGGAAAATGGTATTACCTTCTAAACTGTTAAGAAATCCAGCAAAATACTTTCTCTTAGCAGAATCTCTTTAGAAACTGGAGAAGAGGGTTAGGCTGCCTGCCTGGGATTTGAAGTGGCTTGCCTAAATGCCACTATGTTCGTATCTTTTGCTTAGATATCTGAAGCTGCCAGTATTAATTTTCAGGCATGCAGTTGAGTGAATGAAGCTTCTTCATTTTGGCTTGCATAAATAGGCTATTAGACTTATCAAAACAGTAAAGAAATCTTAAAAAGTCTTTCTAAAAAATGCTACCATATTAATTCTAAAATGTGGTTAACATTGTTTTGAGCCCTTCGTTACACCCTGGTGCTGTTTTTCTAATATCTTGTCTTCTTTGCAGGCATATATCCCATTTTATGCACAATATACCTTTCCCTTCACCACAAAGGCCAAGGATTCTTGTGCAGGTAAGCAAAAGTTTTCATCCATTTTAAGCTACAGCTACAACAAACCCTCTCTTGCCTTTGGTTTCTTACTTTTTTTTTTTTACTTGGGTTTGAATACATACTTCCCAAAAGGGAGAGGTGAGGAGGTAGATGGCCTGGCCTTCTCTCTCATTGATACAAACCTGGTGCAATTTAGCAAGGGAAACAAACTATTTCATACTTCAGGTAGTGTGGATGGCAGAAGTGTGCTAGTTGCACTTTTGAAATACCTGCCATGTATTATGCTTTCATTTTATAGGCACCATTTGCATTACCTCAGTGGTAGGGTTGTTTTCTGCCTGCCCCTCATTTGTCCAACCACTGCTGTGGGGCAGAGGTTAGTCTGTGGGGCAGTGTCTCTTGTGCTTCTCTGCTTAATCACCTAGCAGCAGTTGCATGCTCAACACTGAGTCACAATTTCCTGTAATTCTCAGAATTGTTTTGGTGACTAATAAGAGCTCTGTTCGCTTAGTGAGCCTGAGTCCCAAAGTAATTGTGTCTGTATGCCAGGCAGTTTATGAGACTATGGATGTATATTTATATTGGAATGTAATATTGTATTAAATTTGGGGTTGTTCTTGTCAATCTCTTATTACTTTATGTGTTTCAGCTTTCTGCCCATGATGCATTAATATTGTCACAGCCAGTTTCTACACCGTTGCCATTAAGGTATCATTATTAATGCTTATAATGTATGCTACTTGAAAAAATCAGAAGCAAGCAGGAGTCAGTCATAGAAGAAAGTCAAATATTATGATGTTATAAACAGGAAGCTCGGTATGCATTTATAATGTCACATGGTCTTGTCTTGACATACATGTGCCCTTGTGGAAGTATAATATCACTAATTATCCTGAAATAAAAATGAATTGCCAGATTATTGCAGGAACTCTACAGGATTAATACGACATTTGTGAGGAGAAAAACATATCCATATTTAAAGATCTTATATTTTCAGAACCAGTGTAGTAAGCAAAATTTAATAGCATAGAGACTGCTATCTTGCTTTTTTCCCCTTTTTGGATCCAAGAGAGACAATAGCATCAAGCAGTTAGGTGAAATCCATGAATACACAAGTGTGCAAACATTTCAGGAATTCAAGGGTATACCTCCAAATTAGTATTTATGCTTGAAGGTTGATGCAGTATCTGTAGATGCTTCCTGCATGTTCTGGGTTAGATTCTATGTTCATAGTTCTCCCTATGATTGTGACATGTGGTTTTATTTCAACCCCTCTGTTCATCTTTGGTTTCAAGTTAAAAACCAAAATCTCCTCACTTTTTATTCTCTCCACCCAAAACATTATCATATGATATTCTTTTTGCAGAATCCCATCTTTAATAACATTTGTTACATGAGCATTTGGATAAAAAAATTGCAGCCAGCCACTAAATTGCAAAACAACATGTAAGAACTTTTATAAGGACAGATTTTACACCCTTGTACTCACAGATGTCATTACAATTCCTAAATGTGTACAGTCTCAACAAATTGAATGGAGGCTAAACCACATAAACTAAAAGCATGTCGCCATTAGAATGATGGATTAATTTTGACTCGCACAGGAATTTGATGCTGTGATTCTAAGATCAAATGGATGCTCTATTTCATGATTCTTGTGTGAGGTAACTCATCATATGAAATGCTGGTGTTATTTTTGTTTGAATTAGCAATTAGCTTTGCTTTATTAGTATGAAGACAAGATGCCAGTACATCTCTGAGAGAGAGTGCTGTAAACAACACAGATTTAGCAGTAGCATGGTTTAGTGTATGTTTCTTTAGCAATAGAATTTAAATTTAGGTTTCTTTGGGGTAGTACAAGCCCTAAAATGACATGATAGCTGTTAGATAGGTAGCTATTTGATATGTATTAGCACCATTCAACTAGTCGATCCCAAACATTGACAGTTGTCAGAAGTTTGATAGTAGTGAATCTTTTTTAAACCCTCTAACATTTTTCTTCTCCTTTCCCATCACTCCTTAGTGGAGCAAACTTTAGCACTTTGCTCATGAATCTTGGACCAGAAAACTGTGCCACTCTGCTACTCTTTGTATTACTAGAAGGCAAGATCCTCCTCCACTCCCTTAGACCAGCTGTGTTGACAGGAGTTGCTGAAGCTGTAGTAGCTGTAAGTACAAAGTGTTCTGTACAGCAGTGAGAGAAATTGATTTAAACATCATAGTTGTACAAGGCTTTAAGTTAAAATTACTGATGTACTAAATGGTCATTTTCCCCAGCAATAGCATTTACTTCAATTGCCCTACCTAGTAACTCTTAGAAAGATAATGATTTTTGCATAGCTAACTGAGAGTTATACTGTATTAAAGTGACAAACTTGGGGACCTTTTTCCGATAGTGTTACAAAGCTTTTAGTAATTTCATTTCAATGTGCTGTATGTAACTTCTTGTTTTTTCATGTACAGTATCTGTTGTCTTGTTTTAATGCATTTATTTCATTTAATTTTTCCTTCAGATGATATTTCCATTTCAGTGGCAATGTCCATATATCCCCCTCTGTCCTTTGTCTCTGGCCACCGTACTCAGTGCACCTCTTCCATTTATTGTTGGAGTTGATTCACGATACTTTGATCTGTACGATCCACCACAGGATATTGTGTGCATTGACTTAGACACAAACATGGTTTACATGTAAGTTCTATGGAGATTTTACATTTTTCTGTAGATGAAGAGATTGCTGAAGTGCTCAGGAGACAAAATTGTTAAACACTGTTTGATCCAATGTGGTTTCTTACTGTCCCTTTTTTTCCTAATTTCTAAAGCTTTAAAGTAAATTAAAACTTAGTAAGTCAAGGATCAACACTTCACACTTCCTACAAAAATGTGATGCAGATCTTGCTATAAAGGTAGTAACAATGGTAAGTAACTAGGGAAAGGATTGTCCCCTGGTACTGGGTGCTGGTGAGGTCATATCTCAAATTGTGTGTTCAGTTCTGGGCAAGAAAGACATTGAGGTGCTGGAGTATGTCCAGAGAAGGTGGTGGAGAGTCTGAAGCACAAGTGTTGTGAGGAGCAGCTGAGAGAGCTGAGGTTGTGTAGTGTGAGAAAAGGATCCTGAGGAAGTGATCCTTATTGCTCCCTACAACTGCCTAAAAGGAGGCTGTAGCCAGATGGCGGTCAGTCTCTTCTCCCTGGTAACAAGCAGCAAGACGAAAGGAGTTGGCCTCAAGTTGCAGCAGGGGAGCTTTAGATTAGACAGTAGGAAAACTTTATTCACTCGTGGTCAGGCATTGGAATTGACTGCTCAGAGAAGTAGCTGAATCACCATCCCTAGAGGGTCCTTAAAAGACATGTAGATACAGTGCTTGTTTCAGTGGTGGACATGGTTTGTGGTGGTCATGACAGTGTTATGTAAGTTGTTGGACTTAATAATCTTAAAGCAACCTACATGAACATGAATGATCTTTCATAATAACTCTTGACATTGTCTTGCACTTGGGCTACTTCATGTTAGTGTTAATAAAGAAATTTTTCTGAAGCTACAAGGACCATTTTTTGGTGAGATCAATCAAGCAAAATTTGGTGTCTTCGCTGCATTAATTCTAAAATATTTTAATGTATTGTATTATAGTACTTTTCTTAAATTAAAGTACTCCTTGAACAGTTTCTTTGCGCCTTCTTGAGGAGAGACTAATTCAGAATAATTCTTCTGGGTTTCTATATTGTGAGCACAAATAACAGAAATGAAAAATCAGTTTTTTCAGTGTTTAGTAACTACTTTTCAATTTTTAACAAGAACATAAATAGAAAGATGGATCTAAGCTAGTTCAAGATGAGGGTGATCATCACTAAATCAAGTGCACATCTTTACTCTGTGAAAATTTAGCTTTACTTATCATGTAAATTTTTAACTCTTGACTTTTTTTTTTTTTACTCACTTGAATTAGAGTTAGTAATTTGACCTGTGGATCAGTGAAATTCTTACTTGATTTTTACTGTCTCAGAAGGATCCTTCCTCTACTGATGCTAATGTTTCCTTTACATTACTGACATACATTTTTTTGTTAGTAGTATCAAAGGAAATGGTAAACGATGAAACAAATTGTCTTTGTTTTTTCTATCTGGGGTGTTTTTCTCCTTCCCCTAAGTCTCCATGAAAACACTGCAAAAATAATTTTCATTAGTTTATAACAAAGTATTATGCCACCAAGAGAATAATTGTAGGTGTTATGAAAGAAGAATGTATTGAAGAAAGTCATGACAGATAACTTAATAATTGGAAGATACTTGCAGGGAAAAATACCTCAGTATTTTCATTTATAAGTAGAATGGAAGTTGAGGATTGCGTTGCAGAGATAAAACCAGGAGATTTTGCAGGGAGATAGGGATATCAGGATGCTGTAGGACTGTTAGAAAGACCAAGTACCAACAGTACTTTGATTGGTTGTTGAACTAAAAATCTACTAGTGGCTGACCTCTTGAGTCAGTCAACTTTCCCACCCTTTCTTTTACTGTCTTATAAGCACCCTTCTCTTTCAATACTGAGTTGATCTCTTCTGGTTTTGCTACCCATTTTGCATTTATCCTATCTATACATGTTTGACTTCCAGAGGAGTTTAGCATCTGTAACTTTTTACTTTGGTAAAAGTGAGGTATTGGTAGCTGTGTTATAAAGCATTTTTAACCTGGCAATGAGTATATCTTTCAGTTTTGGAGGTGTATAGGTAAGCCCAAATCTCCATAAAGCACTTTGTCTTGAAGATAATTTAGAATTATGAAAATACTGTGTTATTAGTGAATAAAGATTTTTTTTTTTCGTTTTGTTTTATCCACATTGGTTTCTGCCCCTTTTTAGTTTTATGGCAATGCAGTAGTGCTGGATTGATTTGCTTGCTTATTTAGGTGTAAAAGCATTTGACAGAACTATTACTGACTTGGAAAGACTGCTTAATAGAAAAATCCATTTCCAGAGCAAGTATGCTGCTTTCTTAAGCTATACCAAAAAATACTAAATACCTTTTTTTCAAAATAAATAATGAATAAAATACCCAAATACCTAAAATAAAATAATTGAAAAAATAAATAAATATGCCTTTTATTCATTCAGCATCTTCCTTATTACTTTTTAATTTTTTTTAACTCTCTCTGTGATACTTAATGATCTTTCAATGTTAGCTAGCCTTTTTAGGGCAAAGATTTGAGAGTTTGTTTTATTTTCTAGGCAGGATTTTTTTCCTGTCACTTTTGGAATGGTACTACTTATATTGTTTATACGCATGCCATTATTATGGGGGAAGAATGGGCAAAGGCATCCATAAGCATGGAATTTTTCTTTAACTCCGTGAACTTTGACTTCCTTCCAAAGATATTTCTGTGTTCATGCCAATAAAGCAAATAATAATGGAACAAGTATTTCGCAGATGCAGAGTGCAAAAGCAGCTAGTCCCAGTATCAGCTTGGGTACTCATAACTGATTAGGTTTCATTTCAAAGGGGTTTGATATATTCTCTGTGAGAGCAATTCTCTCCCGTCTTCTGCCTTCCAGAAAGAGGCATAGGAATTCTTGGGATTTATTCCCTTCTCTTTATTTATATCCAACTGCTAAAGAAGGTCTTTTGTATCTGTTGTTGTCTTTAAAGAAGATGAGCATCCCTTTAGGCAATTTACCCCACTGCTTAATCAACCACATAACTTTCCAGCTGTGAACTGAATTCCTAGTCTTTCTAGTACCTGTTAGACTGTGAAGATGGGACTGGGTTGCCATAGGAATATAGCAAAATACTGTATGACCATCAAGTTCTCAGACTGATCTGGCCTCTTTCAGTATCATGTTGTACTCAGAACTGCCTTTATTTGTAGGAGCAGTGGTATGGCAGATTTATGCTAGAATAGAGTTTGTATAATAATCACATCCAGAAGAGTGTTTAAATAATATTAGCAAGGCTGATAAAAAATCTGAAAGAGAAATAGTCTATAAAGTCTAAATTAAATCTGAAGGCAGATCTCCTTGCAGACTGGAAGAAACTCTACTCATTACTCACCTTATACTGTTGTGTATCTGAATAAATGAAATTCTGAGTTATGTCAGTCCCATTTTTTTTTTATTTTTACCAAATAGGTACAGTGACAAGATTACAAAATAATTTTAAGGTACTGTCTTCTGTAAGTGAAGTGACTTAAGGCTGTTGATATTGTTCTTTTTTATACTGTCTCTATTTCATATGTCCTTTTTTGTCTCTCCTGTGTTTTAGATCAGATGATAAGAAGAGCACCAACTGGAAGCAGTTTCCTAAAAAGCCATGTAAAAGTCTTCTCAGCACCTTAAAGAAACTGCACCCACAGCTTGCAGCAGGTGAAATACATAAAATAAGAACTTCTAATTAGTATATAAATGTATGATTTCCTCCTATCACATGCAGTGTGATTTTTTTGTTAGACTCTTTAAATGTGAATTCTTAGAATTTAATCTCTTTTTTATCCTTTACTCATGGTCATGTCCAGCCTTTCATCCACCAGCACCCCCAAGTCCTTGGGGGTGAGAACAGAGATCTGTTCATCCCCCAGCCTGTGTTGATACTGGGGGTATACTCAGGATGCAGCATTTTGCACTTGGTTTTGTTAAATCTCATGAGATTTCCGTGGTCTCAGTTCCTGAGTTTGTCCAAGTCCCTCTGGATAGCATCCCATTCCTCAGGCATGTCAACAGCATCACTCAGCTCGGTGTGATCTTCACCCTTGGCTGAGGGTGAAGACACACCCAAAGGGTGTCTCTCACCCTTTACTGAGGGTGCACTCAATCCCTTTGTCTGTGTTATTTGTGAATATATTTAATAACACAGGCCCTGATATGGACCCCTGAGGGACACCACTTGTCGTTGATGTCCATCAGGGCTCTAAACCATTCACCACTGCCCTCTGGATAGGACTAACCAATTTCTTATCCATCTAGCAGTCCACCTGTCAAATCCATCTGTCTCCAGTTTGGAGAGAAGATGCTGTGAGGGTCTTTGTCAAAGGCTTTACACAGTTCTGGAGATCTGTACCCCTTCCCTTGCCCAGTGGTGCAGTCACACCATCACAGAAGGTCACTGGGTTGGGCAGGCAGGACTTGCTCTTGGTGAAGCTGTGCTAGTGTCTCAAGTCACCTCCCTGTTCTCCCTGTGCCTTAGCACACCTTTTAGGCGGATCTATTCCATGATCTTCCCAGGCACAGAGGGAGGCTGATGGAGTGGTAGTTCCCAGGATCCAGTGCTAGTAAATATCTTCGATAATAACTTTTCTATCACAATAATGGAGTAGCTAATTTTTGACAAACTGTTTTGTAAAAATAAAAATAAAGACTGGCTGTATTCAGCCTAATGTCTTTAACAGATAGGAGCAAAGTTCTAACTGACCTAACAGTTTTCAGGTATTGTTTCTTTCTAACTGAAAATAGATTCTTTCAGGTGAGATGGTTCAGGGTATGTTTGGTTATATTGTTATGTGGAAGGAAACTATGATGACCTCATAGGTATACCTAAGATACAGAAAATTCATAAATGACAAAAGCAAAAAGATTATATTAATTAAGAGATAGGTGTTCCTGCCTTAGTTTTCTATGATTTTTTTTTTCAAATAGCCTTTACTTCATCTGTTAGAAAATCTGTACATTTATCAGCAGTGTGTATCATTCATTAGGAACTAATTCTGTCTTGAGCACAACCAGTGGTCTCTCTTAAATATTTTTTATATTTTGGCAATATTATAATAGCTACATTGTAAAATATATTTCTATTTATGTAGAGGTATTTTATTATTATATCTGATATTTTGTTATAAGTGTGCAACTGTCATTTTCAGCAATACCTGCTGCTGTCTTTTTAAGAATGCAAGAGTAAACTCTAAATGTCACTTACTTGTTTCCACCATTTGGTGCACTAAAATGTTAGGATTGATGTTAGAAAAGCAGTTTTAGATGTGTATTCTTCAGAACAGGAAAAACACAGTGTAACGAGTGAGTGATTTAGGTCACTTAAAGAATCAGTGGCAAAGCTATTGGCAAAAGCATGTTTCATATGAATTTGCAAAAGCACAACAAAATTCAGTAGCAAGATTCACTCTGTCACTGATGAAGAACAAAAGGAAAATCAGATTAGAATCAAGGTAGAATAAGTTTAACAAAGTCTGGGAATGCAAAGGAACAAGGCTATAAAGAGCTAGGGGAGACACTTCAGTAGAGTCAAGAGTTTCAGAGAAGACCCACTTGCTTTCTAAATCCCTGATAGAGCCTAGGTGCAACTGAATCTGAACTCAGGCTGAGACCAAGGGGCCAAGTCCAAACTAAGCCCCAGGTTTGTCTAAAGGATTTAGCAGCATTTAGTCGTTGACTGATATAACAAATTGATTTAATAAGATTTACTGTAAGCACCACCATAACTTCATTACAGATCTGAGATGGAAATATTCATACTGTACTTGCCATAGGGTGTTTAAATCCATTGACACATACATGCACACAGACCCAAAGAATTGTATGCAAATGTGTTTGTACCTATTGAAAATTCATTTTGAGTTCAGTGAGATACTCCCATCCCTTGACAACACTCAAGGGGTGACAGGTTGAGCTTTGAGGACTGGGTGGTACCCAGTACTGTTGGCGGGGGTAGCCCAGGCCCTTTCAGCAGGTTTCAGCAATGGTCCTCAGAGTATGGCATGGCAAACTAGGGAGCTGGTCTGCTCCAAGAGGTACCACTGAGAATTAGGCACTGGTGCAGTCATAGGTGCCCAGGAGAGCTAAGAGGGACTGGCTTAGGACTAATTTTCATAGTGTCACAAAAGTATTATCTTTAGTCATCTGTCAGTCTTCATACGGTGGACTGAAAACTACTGGAATTTTCCTCAAAAGTCCACTACTACTACTACTGCTACTGCTACTACTACTACTACTACTAATATTGTTCTGTTTAAGCTGTTATTCAGTCAAATAGTGTTCCAAGACCATCCATTAAGCAAAAACTGTTTTTTAGGCAGCAGCAGTTCCTGAGAACAGGCAATGTTTCTGATAAGCTGAAGGGGACCTTAACTGCTCAGGAGGCATTAATCAAGGCCAAGGCCTGGAGAGAATGCCTGAGGAGACTGGAGATTGTACAGGAGCCCAAAAGGAGCTCGGTTGGGGCAGGGAGTGTAAAAAACTACCACACATGGTTCTTTGTGTTGATTTACTATTTAAAGACTATATTCAGTTGACTATGAAGTAACGTTAACTGAGCTGATGTCCTTGTTTTGTGTCACAGACTGCTACATGAGGTAGAAAAATACACTTTTGAGGTAACCTTTTTTGTCAACCAATTCAATTGGAAAATAATCATGGGATTTCCTAGTGCTTATCACTTATGAACATGGGCAAATAGAAACAAATTTTTGAATCCACTGAATTCTTATTAAAGGCTTGTATGTGTTGCTCATTTCTAGTTCACAGGAAAACTCAAGAAGGCTCTGCAGTGGAAATGACTCCTATAGAGGCAGATTTCTCCTGGCAGAAGAAGATGATAGAACTTGAGATGGAGATCCAGGAAGCTTTTCTCCGTTTCATGGCATCTATCTTGAAGGGTTACAGAACATTCCTCAGGCCAATCACACAGGCACCTTCTAATAAAGCAACTGCTGCCGATTCGTTGTTTGATCATCAAGGTGAGGATGGGGCAAACAAGCTGCTGATAGCATTGGCAGTGTTACAGCTTCAGAGCTGAAGAGCTGCATAACTTTAGAGGTCAAAGTTCCCTTTGGTTGTACAGTTCTTGGCGGTATTTAAAATTGCAGTTGTCTGAAGTTAAGCTATTCAAAGTTGATTGGAACACCGATACATACATACAGGACTGCAGATATGCACTAGCTCAAGTATTAGAAAAACCTTTTTTTAGTACCATGATGCCCTCTCATCATGGCATGTTCTGCAAGGGCATCTCTTGGGAATAAAATTAATATTAAAAAATATTTCTCAGTTCATATGATGCAAAAATGCTAAAAGCCCAGTAATGAGGAGTAATGGTCTTGATAGAAATGGAAAAATTGTAGAGAATGAGGCAGAAATTAGAATTATGGTAAGCAATAAACGAATGTCACTTCCCTCATCACTGTTAACTGTTCAGATCTGTTCATGAGGTGGACGCTACATAAAATGTCAGAGGGGTATTCTGTGTGATGGTGTTTTGGGTCTTGTTTCTTCTTTCTTTAATTTTTTTTAAATTACTGGATAAGATATTTGAGAAGAGATTTTTAGGTAATCATTTGTAGAGTTTTCAATTTTATCAAGCCCATCACCTTTTAGAATAATGTAATTTTAATTTTAGTATTGTTTTAGCTGTTGGATGCTTTTGTACAAGGTCATCTTTTTCTTGCACAATGAACCAACAAACAGGGTGAGAAGGGATTGCATGAGTGTGATTGATTGCCACAGATGTAAAAAAATAGCTATTAAGAATGCTGTTATTTTAATCTTCCAAATGCAAATAGGTATAAGTAGTTGTTATTGATACAGCAAATACTTTATGTATTAGCATCTTAAGTAATTTGTATTGATTATATGATTTATGTCATTTATGTTTATTAACTCACTTCATGTGTTAATTTCTTATGGAACTTTAACTGGTATTTAGTCGTGTGTTCCTTTTTATAACCAGGATTTTTAAAAAGCAGAGACCGGGCCTATACGAAGTTCTACACGCATCTCACCAAAACACAGATATTCAGCCGCTTTATTGAAGAGTGCAGTTTTGTGAGCGACAAGGATACTGGCTTGGCATTTTTTGATGACTGCATAGAAAAGGTGAAAAATATGCTACTACATAATATTCTTCTGTTCGCTTTGTGTTAATGTCCTGTCCTTTAGTTGGGAAGGTACATAATTTCTGCAGGAAGTATTCAAAAGGATTGGTGGTTATTGCTGAGTAATTTTCCTTTCTTCATCTTCTTACGTGGCCATAATTTCTGTGTTGTTAGAGGAAATTTTAATTAAAGGCCTGCAGGATTTCAGTATATTAAGATAATGTGAGAATTACCAGTAGCTGACACTACAGCAAAATACCATCCATGTCTTCCCATTAAATGTTCAGTTTCTCCCTCTAATGTAGAATTCCTACCAGTGGTCATCTGCCATGATCAAAAACATCGTTGTGCTTTTTCCCACAATTTCAACTTTAAATGAGACTGGTGGTCAGGACTGCTTTATGTAGATAAGTTCCCCTTTCATTACATGCATTTTGTAGGAGAAAGCTTGCTCCATTTTTTTTTCTTTTTTTTCTGGTTTTTTTTTTTCTTTTTTTTTTTTTTTTAATTTTTTTTTTATGTAGTCGAATCAGTATGGTTCTGGTCTAGGTAGGTTATGGAGTTTATAGCTTCATCTTTAAAATTACAATTTCACAATATTAAAGTTCAGAGCTAGGGAATTGTTTTTATTTTTTAAGGCATATGTATATGATTCTTTCTCTGAGAACCTTCATTTTAATAACAAGTTTTTATAGACTGTGAGTCTTTGATTCAGTATTGATTCTAATCAAATTAATATTTGTGAATGGACAAAGTGTATTTGCCTTTCCTTTTCCCTGCTAAATGTGGGGTATTCATCTGGAGAATACTTTGTTAATAATTTGTTACTACTGCAGGTTTTCATATTGGAAATAGCTTCAGAACAGGAGTTTATCTCAACTAAACAAAATGAGAGAAAGCACTTTTCCTTTGATAAATTAAGGATTTTGTATTTAGTAGGTAATGTCAGCAGATTGAAGGCATGCTGATTACTGAATTCTTCACCGAAGTATTTGAAAAAGAGCTTAATTGCTTCTACAGTAATATGGAAAATCACCATTTCTTCTTTAATATTTCAGCAAGTGGCACAGCTTTAATATAATTATTTAGGATTTTGATTTTGAGTTGAGAAGAAACTCTTAATCTTCTTTTTTTTTTTTTTTTTTCCCAGCTCTTTCCCGATAAAGGAACGGAAAAAGGAGAGAAGGTACTTTTGCCCTTGAAAATGTTTAGGAATATCTGGTCATGAAATAAAAATGGAAGTACAAGGCTGTGGACTTGATATTTGAGTAATTAGAACAAGTATAATTTATATATATCCAGTCAAATACAGTGTGTATTAAATATATTTTTTACACATACCAACATAATTGACATTGAAAAGGACATTTTGTTACAAACTCTGTATTTAATGTACAAACTCTGTTTTCAGGTCGATGTAGATTCTGTTGAAGATACACGCTTGATTGAGCTTGATGAGTCACAAAAAAGTGAGCACACAGTGTTCATAATGCCACCAGAACCACCTGCTGATGATGGACAGGACCGAGTGCCAAAATACAGGTACAGTTAGGCAGTCACATAGGGTGAAACTAGAGTGCCTGTGATGGTTAGCAGGGCAGATGCTCTGTGCTAGTGCAAGACTCGCCTTAGTACAATATTCAGAAGAACTCTTTGAAAGATATGAACTGCCCAGATTCTGGTAAGTTTCTAAACCTCTAGAAGTCAGTGTTTTGGGTGTGTATAGGTGAAGGCATGTGGATTATGGTATTACTTTTTCAATAACTTCTTGCCAATTTTATAGTAATACTTTTCTGCATATGTTCAGTGTCATTCTTCCTGTTTGAGCCATTTGTGTGTATTTTGTAGGAAGTGCAGTGCTCTTTGTTCCATGGTGGGAATGATGAAGGGTGGGTTATGAGTTTACCCAGTACTACTGATCTGCAGATGATGAACCAAAAGAGCAAAACATGCATTCCACTTTTCAGATTTCTTGCATTCAGTCTTTTTTAGCTCTGTGCAAGAAGTGTGGAGTTTCAGACACTCTGGGTACAATTTATTTCTTCCTGTCACTCTTGGAGATCATGAGTGTTCTGTTTTTTGCTGTTGTCCTTGTTAATCATCATCTGTGCTTTCCTGACCTTCATGACATGGTTAGCAGTCTGGTTCTTCCATTTGGAGGCATAATGTCCAAGGCATCTTCCTGTAGTATTTTTATGAATAAGGCTAGAAGTATCTTGCTGTTTTCTTTTTCTCCTTGTTCTTTATTCTCCTGTTTGTCGTTTTTTTTCCATATCAGTTGTCTTTGTATGGCTTTCCTGCTATGAGCAGGTATGTGAAAAACTTTTATTTTCTCTTTTTTTAAATCATCTATGTAGCTATAAAAACTTCCCGCGATTAGATTTCAAGCTCTTTGACAGGCCACAGGAGCTCAAGCTCTCCTTCAGCAGACACCCAGCTGGAAGCAGCATTTCAAATAGTCCAGCACTCATGGCAAAGAGGACAAAACAGGTCAGATGAGTGTCATTGTAATCACTGTGTGATCACTGAAAGATACAAATTTTCTGGGTAAAACTGCCACTGCCGTTTATACTATAAGTAAATGTTTTTAGAGGTTTGGTCTTTGTAACTTGCAAATAAAAGAAGAGATTAAAAAATTATCATCTGAGATTACAGCTTATTGTCAAATGCATTTTTAAGCTTTAGACTGTAATATAAAATTAAATTGAAATTAATGCTTAGTGTGGAAAAAAAGATTGATCCTGATGCTAGTTTTTGCTTGCAGAGCATCTTAATTAGGGAATGGTAATAAAGGATCTTCAGCTGAATGTGTGTCTATTATTATTAAATGCTTACTCTTAAGAAGTCAGTATCTGAGTTAGATTTCTAGATTCAAGAAGTTATGTCTTTTGTGTTTTGTTTCACCTTAACAGGAGATAAAAACAGCCCATAAATTAGCCAAGAAATATTATGTAAGCCCCTCCCAGTGGGCTAAGTGTCTCTTCAGTCATAGTTACAGCCTATGGTTTATTTGCCTGCCAGCCTATGTCAGAGTTGCACATCCTAAGGTCAAAGCACTGCAACAGGCCTATGATGTTCTGATTAAAATGAGGAAAACCGAAGTGGAACCACTAGATGAGGCAAGTACAAATCAAAAAAAGTTACCATGACTCTGAAATAGAAGACAAGGTGCAAAAGACAGTGTGCTTCGCTGACACCACCAGGTTAGCATACTTATGGTTAGACCTGTGTTTAAAGCCACCTTAAAATCATCTCGTCAGCTTCACTACAGCAATTGGAGATTAAGTCCCTTTTTTATCCCCAGTATAGTGTATGCTGGGTCAACTACTCCAACTCAGTGTTGCTAGTCTTCTCACAGATGACTTCCAGAAGGAAGTTCTTGAATATCCCTGTATTTATTGCACTTTAATTAGTGCTTTGCAACCTTACTGCACTGAAGGGATGATGGGTTTGTGTGCAGCATACAAACTTTCGTTCAGTAGTATCCACAGGCACACAGCAGCAAGTTGTGCTTTTCACGTGGGCACATTACCTCCTTTATTTCTCAAATAGAAGACCTGAGTGGAAAAAAAATAATTGGCATGGTCAACAGTATGACTGCTGGTGTTATTTCTGTTTCTTGCTCTTCTTCTGTTATTTCTGTGACTTGCTCTTTAATTTTTGCTCCCTCTTCTGGCTGTAGCATGTTATGGACTAACGAGTTGTTCTCACAGTTTTCCCTTTTAAAAGTGTAAAAGTTGGAAATCAGGAAAGAGCTTAAGACACTTCAAAATGCTTGTCTTTAGTCCATTTACTTATTTCTGTATCTTGTCAGGTCTGTTACAGAGTAGTAATGCAGCTCTGTGGACTGTGGGGTCAGCCTGTTCAGGCTGTGAGAGTCCTTTTTGAAATGAAAAATGCTGGAATACAGCCAAATGCCATCACCTATGGTTATTACAATAAGGTAAGGGAGGGTCCAGTACCTTTTGCATTTGTCACTCCCAATGTCTCATAGCATCTTTTCAAGGTTGTTCCTTGCAGCTCTTCACTTGGATTTGCTGATTCTCTTAGTCAAGCCATCCTTTTGGACATGCTTACAGAATGACTGAATCTACACTAAATGTTTCTACACTGTTAAATTTACATTCCTGTGCTGTTTAGCTAACCAAAAATTCTATTGAAATACAGATTTACACTGTTTCCATTTACAAATTTTGGAACCATCTAGTGTTTCCATATCCAATAAATCTATTCTAAGGTGTATTCTTTAAGATAGCAAGATCCAAAATGGATGAAGGCTGGAAATAGGCTACTTGAAGTAGCCTTCCTCTTCGTCCTTGCTTTCAAGTTCCTGATGACACTTCATGGTAAACTATATAAAGGAAAAAGAAGGAGATGTTACTATGGTCTTCTGTCACTATTAAAATATATAGATAAAAACAAAACCCACCTTCCTTAATTAAAGTAATTTTGATCTATTGTCTGGTTTTACTCAACTGTTTTGTACTGAGCTGTGAAATAAAAGGGAAGATATTTGTCCTCTGTCCAAGTGTTTGTCCCATGGTTGGCAGTAAATGCTTTTTTTTAATTTGGCGGGGGTGGGGGGGGCGGGGGTGGGGTGAAGCTTCTCAACCTACTGTGGTTTTTTTATATAATTTCCTTACTGTTTTTGTTGTTGCTTCTGCAGGCAGTTTTAGAGTCTTCTTGGCCTAGTGGTAACCGCAGTGGCATATTCCTGTGGACAAAGGTACGAAATGTAGTTCGTGGCACAGCGCAGTTTAGGCAGTGCCTGAAGAAATCAATGCAGAGCCCACAAGTGCCTATGATACCAGGTAATAAGTTAATTGAAATAGATTTATTTCTGATGAACAAGGGCATAACATGCTTTCAGAGGGATTGCAGCTAACGCTGTGGCTTCTGAAAGTGGGAAATCTGTCCTTAAATGTATAAAAATTGATATTTGCCAACTTGATGCTTGTAACATACTGAAGAATTTTTTGCGTACTGGAGAATTAATTATCTTGATTTCTGTTACCAGAATTTCATATTCTTACTTTACATGTGTGAGCAGAAGTATTTACTGTTGTCTGAAGAGGTTAGATGTATTTACAAACCTGAACAATTAAGTCCTCTCTTACTAACCAGCTCTTGTTCATGTCTTTAGCTCTGCGGAGTCCCACGGGTGGAAGTGATGGGGACATGGTGAGCCATGGTAGCGTGGATAGTTCTAATGATGCTAACAGTGGGGAGCACACCCTCTTCGTCAGTGACTTAGTCAGGCTTGATTCCGTTGATAATCACTCTAGCACAGGTACTAGATTCTGCTGGGTTTACTACTAACAGTTCCCTAAAAGGCTAAATTTTCTAGTCTCCTGTTGATGTCCCCTTCACAACTACTGCTTTCCCTTCTTGAGGCTGTAGAGGAGTGTGGAGTCAACTTGTTTCAAAAAGAAGTAATGAATTGTTGAACATTTCTCCTACTGCACATCATGCTTTAATTCAGAATGTACCATAGCAGAAATACTATTATATTAAAATAAATGTTTTGCTGTGGTCTCACGTACCCTGCTTTTTGTGTTAACCTTCAGAAAAGGTATGAAGCCTCTGACACATGAGGCTGTTTAATTTTTGCATGTTGTCATTTATTCACAGAAGTGGTAGTCCATGTCAGTAAAATCTTTCCATGAAAGGAGTGATATTTGCTCAGGTGATTAGAAGGCAACACTTGAAAATTTTTTTCCTTGATAATATCTCAGAAAGGTCTAATTAGCATTCATGGGATTAGTATGGTATGTTAGGTTATGGTAAACTGTGCTTTTAAATGCCATATTCAAGTGTCTTAATAGTAGTTGCTAAACTTTGAAATAAGTAGAGAAATTGTCAGAACCTTGTCATACAGTTTTTAGGAGACACCATGGGAATGGAAAGGCAGGTGTTAAGCTGGAGAAAAACTCCATGTTAAACAAAGTGTGTACTCCTCTTGACAAACTGAAGTAAAAAGAGTGCACAGGAGGTTAATAATTTAAGATGGCAAGACAAAATGCATGGTTTTTCTTATCTGCTCTAGTACTGATCACATCCTACCTGTGCAGTTTCAACTAAACTCCATTTCTGTGTGTACTTCAAAACTTAATGCACAAAATGATTCTTGCACACTCTTCATGTTTTTAATATCTTGAGCCCTTCTGTAAAGAGAGCTTTGAGTCTGATTCCTGTGCTTCATCTGATATGTCTGCCTAGATTACTGAACTTCCCTTCTCTCTGCTCTTTGTTGCTCTGCTTTTTGCTCTTTGCTGTCTCTTGGGTGCCGCATTTGTCCTTGGCTATCACGGTGTGGGGTGCAGACTTATGGTGTGAAGCCTTGGATGCGCGTGTGCATTATTTCTGCCCTTGAATGTTACTTCTGCAGGTAATTCACCCATTTATTGATGGGGTTTGGCACTTCTGCTCAAGGCAGGGATACTAACTTTATTGAAAATCTGACAGAGAGAAAATAGGCACCTAAGAATGTCAGAACTTAATTTTCTATATAAAAAGTTTTTCATATAGTAGCCAAATGTATTAATTGATGGCTGCTCATATTCTTAATTCTTTTTAATATAGTTGTTATTTGTTGGTAAAATAAATAGCAGTGATATGTATGGTAGATGAATTTTATCTGTCACCCAAATTTTATGGAGCTTCCTAACGCTTTTCATGCTCAGTAACTTACCTTGATCTTTTTTCTTGCAGTAATTAGTGCTAATAGGTACTCTGAAGCATATGAACAATCCAGTTTAACATATTGCTGAGAAATCTGTCCATATAGTATTTTTGTCTTTTTGCACATGCAGCAGCCATCAGATAAAAAATAACAGAGAAAAGAGACTTTCTGTACTTTTTCGTGTGACAAACTTCTTTGATTACTGTAAAGTTTTGGGTTTTTAGTGAGTTACAGCTGGCAAGTTTAACTGGTATAGCAGAGGAACAGACTTTTTAAAAAATGTTTGTAGTTTTACTTTTTTTTTCTATTACAATTTATACTTTGGCATACAGTGAAAAGATTTAGCACAGTTTATAGTACAGGTTTTTTCCAGGGCTTTTTTCACTTGTTAGAAGCTTGCTTAATTATGACTGTGCTTGTCTAAATTTCTTTTGTTAAGGCTTTGAGAATTTAGCTTACCCAGCAGTTAAACATTTCATGCTAATTTGATAGGAAAGGAATGAGAGCAGATACAATACATTAAAAATAGTTAGTCACCCTAGTGTGTCTAGGGGAATAGCTCATATTTAGTATAATTAGAAAAGTAAATTTGGATTGGTATAGCCAAATTATCTCTGGTGTTATTATCACTGAGTAGGTCTTTCCACAAATTATACATTTTGGAGATCTTAATGTGAACTTTTCTGGAGAGATAACAAGTGAAACAAATAAATTTATTTTCTTATTGAAAACACATTTAGGAAGGGAAAATGAGCTTGAAGCATGTGTTTGTATTTCTTCCAACAGGTGATCAGTCAGACCAGGGTTACAGATCCAAGGATGAACTCTTGAGAGATGGTGAGGATAGTCTTTCTGCAACTGAAACACAAGTAGAGAAAGATATTTCTTCTAACCTTGAAGACTTAATAGGAGGTTAAGTATGCCTGTTTGTGTTGGTGAAGGCTTTTGGTGTTTCATGCATTAGAATACCACAGATACCCAGCACATTGAATTAATAATGTTCCCAGGCTCAGAATATAATAGATTTCATATAGTTATTTTACTTCTGTGCCCTAAATTATAGCAGTGGGATGTGTATAGGTAGAAAGAACCTTTTATTAGATTAATTTAATATAGATGGAAAAAATGGACAAATGTTGGGGTACACAGTAATTTACATTCCATTTCCCTCATTTATCTGTTTGAAATCTTGACAATTTTTTTAGCTGTACCTGTTGACCTAATAAAAGGTGTTACTTTTTCTTACAAACTCTTCCCAGCTATAGATGGCCTTAGGGTCATCTCCTGTCTTCTGTTCACATTTTTCCCTTAGTTTTTCTGTATTTTGTTGTTTTCATTACTGAATTTGTTTCATATCTGGGTTATGAGATCCTTTATGTGAGTTAGGGCTTTTAAAGCTCTCGTTAAACAAATTGCCCTGCATGAAAATCTGTGAACTACTTATTCTGCTTTGGTTAGTTGAAGTAATACCATGGGGAGAAATTGGCAAATACTATAAGCCTGTGAACAGCTAAGCACTCTGCATAATGCTGGCAGCTGTAACCTTTCTGGGTATTGCTCCCAGGAAATGCTCAGTACTTAGTAGGACTGATCCTTTAGTTTGTTATTACATAAGGCAACAGTTGGAGTTTATATTTTACATACCAGTGCCAATAATTACTAAGTTAAATCTTAACTTTATCTATCTATCTATCTATCTATCTATCTATCTGTATGTCTGTGTACTAATGTTCGCATTCTCTTTCTTGCAGAGATTTCTACAGAAAAATCTTATGAAAAGCAACAGCTGAATATAGAAACTCCGAGTCCAGCTGATCCACATGCTTGGGGTAACAGTATTGTGAAAGTTCCATCAGGCATTTTTGATAGCAGTGGAAGAAAGAGCAGTGATGGTGAGTCACTGGATGAAACAGAGCTTGCTAAAGTCCTGATCTTCTTGTGCTGTAGTGTTTTGCAATCTGTTTCATGTTATGAAAAGAAACAAAACTTCTGTTCAAGGTGCAGATGTCTTGCACAATGTTTGCTTTCCACCATTATCCTGTGCAGGTAACATAGAAGGAACCTCTAGATTCTAAGGTTGAAAATCACTATTGTGTAGACTGAAATCAAGATTGTCCCTGCCCTGCACTGAGAGTGTTTCAGTAATATACTAGGAAACAAAGAGAAATTGTGTCTCCAGTCTTTATTTTGTCATCTAAATCTTGCTGATCTTGGACAAGTTTGTCCTGCAGCTTACATTGTCAATCTATAATGCAGGAACAATGTGTGTTGTCTTTATGCTGTACAAAATTTATTTACTTATCTCAGAATTTGTGATGAGAAAGATTTACGGATATATAAAAGCCAGATCTTGGGGATCAATTTTTTTTTTCTGCCTTTGCATCTGTCCTTTACTAAGACAAGGTAGTCCAGCTTCTTTGTAGCTTGATAGCACAGAATGGAGTTGGAGGTAAGAAGTTGCTTGAAACATTTTGGCAATTATGAAAACTGATGGTTAGCCAAGAAGCAGCATTGATGTGAGACTCAAACATGCTCCAGCATGTGGATATGGCACAACAGGTCTTCTCTTGAGGTCCTAATATAGTAGAATTTCCATACGTATGAAGATTTTAACTTTGCTAATACAGCTATCCAGGTAGTAAATATTCCCAATTACCCATTGGAAATAGGAACATATATAAGATTAGTTTATGGCATCCATGTGCTAAACTTAATTAGTATTTTCTAAATATACATCTGTGTCATAAATGAAATAACATATCTGTATTGGGCAGACACACATTATAGTATTTTTCAGAACCAGAATGAACTATGTAGTTTGATGTTTAAATCTTGAATGTAGCTCTTGGGTTGGGGGGGAACCCATAACCAACCAGAGCAACTTTTACTTAAAATTGTAGTTTCCTTTAGTTCACAGATGTAGTACTTACTCTCTGGGTGTTGGCACAGGGTAGAAGCCATAAACAGCTTTGATTCTGAAGAGCAGGTGGCTTTTGATCTGCAGGATGTGTTTGCAGTGAAATAATGTGTTCATGATAGTGTAACTTCTTAATGGATATCTTGGGACTGTAGTACATCCAGTCTTCTCTATGTAAGGAGATTAAGGAGATTTGACATGGTTTCAGGAAATAAACATTTTTGGTGGCTATGGACACCATATTATTAATGTTTTTTCTCTTTTAGAAACTGTTTCTAGCCCACTGTTCATAACTCAGGATTCACTTGAAGATACAGTCTTTGGTAATGTTTCTCCTAAGAAAACAAATGAAAAAAGACAGAAGAGGCAAAAACTCTTTTCACAGAGAAGCTGCAGTTTCAGCAGTGAAAGCAGAGCTGGAATGCTGCTGAAAAAAGGCAGCTTGGACTTGCATTCTAAAGAAATAGCAATAATGATGGGAGCAGATGCCAAGATCCTAACAGCAGCTTTATCTGGGGCCAAAACTCCACCTTCTCATATGACTAAATCACACAGTTTTGAAAATATCACTGACCAGCAGATTTCTGACGTGAGTGGCACTTGGAGAGGTGTGACTGAGAGTGATTGGGAACTAGAACATAGGTCTTCACCAGTACTGGAAGAACCTGGGGAAGGGCAGGAGGATCTTGAGAATGGAAGTGATGGAAATATGACCACAGTGGAAGACATGAATCTTGAACAGTCAGATGAGTCTAAAAGCCATAAAACAGAATCTAAAGATGCAACTGCTAGAAGAAATAGCTTTTATGGATTGGTTAAGCCTATTGAAAGGGAAGATGTTGAAGTAGGCTTGGACCCTCTGTCTTTGCTAGCTACTGACAGTACACAAACAGGTTATCCAGAACCTGGAGAAAAGCTGATGTCACCAGTTGCAGCACGTAATTTGGCAGATGAAATAGAGAGCTATATGAATTTGAAGAACCCATTGGGTAGTAAGTTTCCCAGCATGGAACTGCACAAGCCAGATAAGGAAGCAGATACTTCTGGTACACTTGGTCACTCCCAAGAAAGAAGGTCAAGCCTGCCTTTGGATCCCATCCTGCCATCCTCCAAGTGTTATGAAAATCGAAGAAGTCCTTCTGTCTCCAGATCCAAAACATTCGCTGTACGATCAAAGCAACAAACTCACCCACAAGTTCAAAAGGAGCGGTCTTCATCTTTGACAGGACTGGGTCGCTCTTCCCCACATGGCTCACTAGGAACTGTTGTAACAACTTTATCCAATTTGAAGTTAGACAATATACTGTCTGGACCAAAAATAGATGTTTTGAAAACAGGCATGAAGCAGGCTGCTAATGTGGCCAGTAAGATGTGGGGAGTGGTAACATCAGCATATAGTTACTCAGATGATGAGGTAAGTGTTTTTCTGTATGAAAAATTTGGGGACACAAAGTTAGAGGGCTAACTTCTGTGTCCAGAAGACTGCTTCTCTAGGTGGTGTTTTTTATTAAGTATTGACTTTTATTAGCTAATAAAAATTACACTTTATCTATGGTATTTTTCCTTGCCATTAAAAAACCCCACTTTTCAGACAAAAGGAAAGGCTGTTTGTTCTCAACAAAAACCTCCTCTTTGTTTATTAATATTTTTTTTATACGTAAAGAAACTGAACTAAGAAACCCTGGTAAGTACAAATTTATGTCACCTTAAATGATGCCCTGTCTTACTTTAAGAAACTAAGTTGTGAAATTAAATTACAAACCCAGGAAGTCAGGTTGGTGAGGGTCAAAGTTGAAAGTAATATCAGGAGTTTGGAAACTAAATGTTGTGGTTCTTCTGTGAGTAACAGAGTGTTTTTCAGACTAAAACATTTCACATACTAATGACAAGAATGAAAGAGGATATAGAGGGATGAATATTGTAACTTCCTCTTTTTTTGTGTTATCTTGTTATTGTGCCTTCAAGTGATATGACTACATCATTTTTCCTGTTTCTTTTGTAATGAATAAATTTATGTCACTATTGTTTTGTCACTCCATTTGTCAGTTTTTCAATATCCTCCGCTTTGTCCAGTATCTGCACTTTTAGAGGCTGCATAGATTTATCTTTTATCTGATAATTTTTTTACAACAAGATTTCTCTTAATCTGTTAGTTTAATTATTTATTCTTTAGGAAAAAAATGGAAGTCAAATAATGGATGTGGAGGTACTCAAAAATGCTACTTTTTCTTCTTGCATTAAAGGAAGAAAGATATCAACCAGACTATAACTTCCCTGTGGGCTTTGAAGACACTATTTTAGGAGATAATCTGTCATCAAGAATTGGAGTCCCAGGCCTACTTACAAATGAACTTGCACAAAGCACTACTAGTCTTGGTAGTAGCAGCAGTGGTGGTGATGTAGGAAGACAGCATTACAGTGCAGGTGAGATGATTTGGTTTTATTTCCCCCTGATAACTTGATTATAATACAACAAAGAGGGAAAACTGTTGTTTGTGAAATCACTCAAAACAATGGAAGCTATGATAATGTGAAACTATTTCAATCCCTTAAGAGTGTTACGAGCAAATTTTTACTTCCATTCTATACTCTTTCCTTGCAGTAGCAAGTAGGTAATGATTTTCTCTTTGTTGAATGTATAAAAAGCTGATACAATATGCAGGAGTTTAACCATGAAAATACTTACTGTGTATGTGATAGGAAGATTGCTAACTAGTTATAGCAAGAAACACCTGCTCATTCATGTAAACTCATAGGACCCTTGGAAGTATTAATAGTGAAATACTAATACAGAAAAGCTGAACAGTTTGACAGCTGCAAATAGTTGCATAACAGAGACAGATCATTTGAGGGAGGAAAGAAGTAAACCAACCAAAACCAAATCAACAGAACAACCCTGTAGTTCCATGTGCACAAAAAGCCTAAAGCAATACAACACTAAAAGTTATGCATCTTTACCGTGGAATAGGAAGTGTTGGATACATACTTGATTTGAACTTATGTAGGTGAATAGTTGATGGCTGTGAGCCAGTTGCAAACTTTCCTTCCCTCCTCCCTGCCAGATGTAAAACTGGAATGAATAAATCTAATTTACAGTTCAGATTTAATTCAGTTAGATTTTATTATTATTTTGAGAAAAAATATGTGTTTCTGAACCTGCTGTGGGGTTGGTTTAGGTCTCTTTGCAATACAATACTTCAGTGATGCAAATATTGTGAAGCTGTCTGCTTTACAGAGAGAGAGAAAAATCAAGAGAGGAAGAACTATCTTGCATAATGGAGATAAAGTGCCCCTGTATCGCAAAATCTTGACAAGATATCTTGTAGTTCCATCTAGTTAGGACAGTTATAAGAGCTAACTATAAAGAGTGGCAGCCAACAGGGCATGCAAAATTTGTTCACAAACATAACCTTGAGCTGAAAAAACAGGAGCCTTCTTTATGATGACGGGATACTGGTGGTGATTTTTTTAAAAGAGAAATTTGGGCTTGTGAAAAACAATTCTGATAATTTTGCCTTCTCGGAGTGATTCCATCCATTTCCTTTTGGTGAATATATTCCAAGTATCTTTCCCCTCTTCCTGGACCAGGCTCATAATCGTAAAATCTAGCATTACCAAAGAAAAAAGATTTTGTTTAATGCAGTGTTAATCAGGGAAAATCTAAGTGCCGTAATGGCATTTTTGGTATCATACGCCTCACCTCGTGCTGTCCTTACATTGGCTGTTTACATATGGATGTATTATTCAAGAAATCATGACTTGTCAGCTTTTTAGAATTGGTCAATATACATTGAGCAATCTTACTGCTCTTTACCAGTCTATTTTTTGTGGTTTTCTTTTACTAATTTGTGATATATTGTGTTAGAAAAGTAACCTTGAAATGTTAATCATGAACATTATATCTATCTATATTGTAATTGCAATGTCAGTGAGATACTCATATCTTTGGAGATCTTTTGGTATTATTTTCTAGCCTTGGTTGAACAGAAGTTATTTTCTTCGGGAATGGATTAATTCTTTGCTTGAATACAAAACTCAAATTACTCTTTTTGTACAGGTGAAGTTTCATTCCCAAAAAGTATGAAAGTTCTAGATTCTGAGAAATCAGAGCACAGCTCTTCACATAATACTAGTTTATCCAGCATTTTCCAGAACTATGCAATGGAGGTAAGATTAATAAACTCATAGATAAAAGCTATAATTAGTCAATAGTACTGTATGCATTAATTACCTGTTTCATTGCATTGTGGTTGGTTTTTTTGAAACAATTTTTTCCTTGTTTCTGCTGCAGAGATGCTTAATACTTGTAGCTTGGAGTGCGACAGCAGCTTTAAAAAAGAAGACTGTTTTATGTATCCATCATATATATAGAGAAAAAGTTGTTCAGGGAAGGGCCAAAACTTGAAGTGAAAGAGAAGTTAGAGATGAAACTGGAGCTTTTGTGGGGTTTTAGATTTTATTTTCCTTATGAAAATTTTGTTGTTAGTAAATAATTGTGATGAGTTGACCGCAGCCAGCACCAAGGCCCTCACACAGGTATTTGCTTATTCCCCTTTAAATGGGGGACAGAATTGAAAGGGCAAAGGAAAAAAGCTTGAGAGTTGAGATAAAGACAATTTAATACATGAATTCTGGGGGAAAAGATAAAAAAGAGGGATACACAACCAAAAGAAAATAGTAACGCAGAGATCAGTCAGCACCCTGATACCTCAAGGAAGAGCTACCTTGGAAAAACACAGAGTTTTATCTCTGAAATTGATGTTACACAGTGTCATTTGATCAGCTGAGGCCAGCTGTCCTGGCTGTGTCCTGTCACAGCCTGCTGACTGAGTTGTGCACATAATGAAAAAAGTCCATGATGATGTATAAAGCCCTGTGCAGCAATAACTAAAATGCTGGAGTGTTATCAATTACCATGGAGCTGGTTACCAGACTGAAACACAGGACTGTAAAGAACACTAACAAGAAAATTTATTCTATCCCAGCCAAATCAAATTAAATAATGCTTTAGTATAGTTCTCTGTTTCAGAGAACTACCTGTAGATGCTTTCAGATTTCAGATACATAGGCAATGGTCACTGCATTTGCCTTGGTTGCTTTTTTTTTGAGCTGCAGTGTTATTTTGCTAGATCCTATGTCATTTTCATTTATGTTTGGACATCTAGGCTTGTCAAGCTTCTGCACTGCATTATATAAAGGGTATAGCATAGTAAAAGTGGCATTATAATGAATGTCTATTAGCTCTAAAATTTATTAGAAGCTGTGTTTGATGCTGTTTTTTGGGGGTTTTTCACCCATCTGACTGAAACAATGAAGTAAGAGAATAGAGTAAGGTATAGTACAGAATTATCATTTTTCTCCAGTTCTCTATCTACCTTAGTAGTGAGACTTCTCTTGGGTAAAGACACAACATTCTGATTTTCCACGTGTACTGGGTTTGCATGGCAAGGATTGGGTAGCAGAAGAGCTGCCAGAACTTTCTCCCATGTCCGACAGAGCCAATGCCAGCCAGCTCCAGGTTGGACCTTCACTGGCCAAGGCCAAGCCCATTAATGACAGTGGCAGCAATGTTGGGATAGTGTATTTGAGAAAGGGAAAAGAATGCTGTGCAACAGCAGCTGCAGGAGAGGAGTGAAAACACATGATGGAAAATCCCTCTACAGATACCCAGGTCAGTGCAGAAGGAGGGACAGGAGGTGCTGCAGGCACCGAGCAGAGATTGCCCTGCAGCCTGTGGTGCAGACCAGCGTGAGACAGCTGTGCTCCGCAGATGTCCTGCATCCCCCTGCTCCGTGCTGGAGCAGGTGGATACCCAAAGGAAGCTAACCCTACAGACAGGAGCCAATGATCCTGGCAGGGCCTTGACCTCATGGGGAGAGGAGCCCAGGCTGGAGCATGTTTTCTGGCAGGACTTGTGATCCTGAAGGAGATCCATGCTGGAACAGCTAGTGAAGAACTAAAGCCCATGGGAAGGGCTTACCCCAGAGACGTTTGTGTTAGTAGTATGTCCTGAGGGAAGGACCCCATGCAGGGGAACAGTGTGAGGAGGGAGGAGTGTCAGAAAAACATGGGATGAATTGACCACAATCGCCTTTTCCCATTTCCATGTGCCATTTCAGGGAAGAGGGTGGAGAAATCAGAAATTAAAGTAAAGCCTGAGAAGAAGGGAGGGGTAGGGGGAACATGTTTTAAAATTTGAGGTAATTTCTCATTAGCCTACTTGAACTTCTTATTGGTAGAAAATTAAATTAATTTCCTCTGGTGGAGTTTGTTTTGCCTGTGACAGTGATTGCTGAGTAATCTCCTTGTCCCTATTGTGACTCACAAGCCTTTTGTCATATTTTTCTTTCCCTGTTCACTTGAACAGGGAGATTGCTAGAGTGGCTTTGGTGAGCACCTGGCATCCAGCCAGGGTCGACACACCACACTATTATGAAGGTTTCTTCTGTGTTTGATTGATTTTGTGGGAATATTTTGCTCTTTTGGATAAGTAGACATGCATTTACTTATACAATTCAAAGCGATTTGTATATGCTGAAGTCTTCATAGAAGCAAGCAATTGCAAATGCTAAATTAGTAGCCTTTTGGGGTAATTATTTTTCCATGTCAGAAATAAATTACTTATGTCTGCATTTCATAGGTAAAAGTTAATGTGGATGAGATAATTCTGAGTATGGTGAGAAAGAAGGGGTGAACTCATTTCTCCCCACTGGCCTTCTGGTACCTGTTAAACTTCTATGTACTAAGCCTATAGAAAACAATTGTAAAATTAGCATTAATTCTTTGCTATTCTAGGTCTTGATGTCAAGTTGCTCTCAATGTAGAGCTTGTGATGCTTTAGTTTATGATGAAGAAATCATGGCTGGGTGGACAGCAGATGACTCAAACCTGAACACTACCTGCCCTTTCTGTAAAAGTACCTTCCTACCTTTTCTTAATGTTGAATTTAAAGACCTCCGTGGCTCTGCAAGGTCAGTGCATTTTATAGATACTCTATTTCTGCCTTTGTACCTGTGTGTGATTATATTTTGCACAAGAGGACCTTTGATATCTTTCCCCATCTAGATGTTAGCAAGAATGTTACTGCCTATTCAGTGGTCTTGATTGCAGTGAAGGAAATTATAAGTTGTGTAAACTATTCAGTTGCATTATAAAACAGCCAAAACCCAAAGAACTAGTTGCCTTTTTTAATTTTTTTGTTTCATAGTTTCTTTTTAAGCATATGGAAGGTGTGAGTCAGTTTTCATTTTGTTTTGATGTTAAGACAAAGCCTATGGACTTTAAACTTTATAAAAACATAGGAAGACGTTTTTAAATCTGTCAGCAAAGAATTTTTCCCAGACCAAATTCATCATCAGCATTTAGTTCCCGATGCTCAACCTTGTTGTTTCTGCAGTTTAAGCTTCTCTGCTTGCTGTTTTTAACATCTACTAATTGCACTGTGGAAAATGGAGCTTAAAATTAAGTTCCAGTTCTCACTGTAGTGGTTATTGCTGTGAAGCAGATGTTCCACTAGTTCTCTAATGCAGAAATTTAATATCTGTATTAACTGTAGAGTGTGTACTTAAGAGAATTAGCAAAGCAAGACACATTTGTGTTGTCATGTGCTTGTAATGGTGTATGATCATGTAGTCTGTAATGTCACATTACAATAGCAACCATTTTCAGTGATGTGTCACCTATTAAAACACTGTTTGTGATGGCTGATTTGAAGCCATCACAAACGAAGTTCATGTGTAATGATTTATGTCTAGTGTAGGATGCCTTCCTTTGCAGATCAAATCTCTCTATGTGTTCATTTACTCTGCCTGTATAAGTTGCAGGGGTGAGAACAGGATGAAATTTATGGTCTGTTGTCAAGCTTTTTAATGTTGTGTTTTCTTCTTTTGCTACTTCTGAAAAGTAAATGTAGAAAATAATAACTTTATGATTTTATGCTTATATCTTTACTTTTGTATTTTTCTCCCTCCCATTCATGTTGTAATTTCAGCTTTTTCCTGAAGCAAAGTACCTCAGGAGATAGTTTACAGAGTGGCACCCTTCCATTAACCACGGATCCTCTGGAGCAGAAACCGTTGTCCAGTCCAGCCGTTGCTGACTTGATCAGTTTTTCTGATCACCTGCAGTCCAGCCACACCATAGCTGAAGAAACTAGCTCTGCAGCTGAGCAGGGGTAGGTAAAACAGGATTGTTAGCTCTGTCAGAAATGCATCAGTACTTCCATACTTATAAGGGTAAGGTTGACTTTTATACCAAAGGTGGTGAAGTACAGTTGTAACTTGAGGATCATCTCTTTCCTTTCTCACTTTCTGCATGTTTTAAGTATGCTCTTATCAGTTTGAAGTAAACTCATTCCACCAAGTGAGGAGGTTCTAGAGATACAGCTATAGAAATGAATCTTCATGTCCATCTGCTATTGATGAATAGGTAAAACCTTTACTCAGTATGGTTAAAACCCAATCACTGTTTAAACTCACATAGAAATTCAAGCATTGCTTCTCCTTTCATTGTATGTATGATTTAACAATAAGGCCACTGCACTATGGGAAAAAATAAGTCCATTTGCTGGAACACTTTGCTTGAGAGAAAGTTTTGGGAGCACTCAAGACTTGTGCTGAGCTTGTGTTCTATGAGAAACCTATGTAAAACTGAAATTCTGAAAAACAATATTGCTTTTGAAACAGTTTGAGGAAAAAAAGCATTAAGGGGAAGGTGTCGTGTTGGATGAGGGAAGAACTAAAATAATGTTATGAATTGTGACCTGTTTGCTGGGATGATGACATTTTTTTGTAATTGTTTGGGGCTTTTTTTAATCATCATTCAGTTTGAAATTCTGGAGTATTAGTGCCTCAGACTAATAAGCTAATGCCTGTTTGAGACAACTAAAACTTTTATCAATGCAGTAGTAGTTAGTCTTAATACACTAAACATTGAAGGTGGTACTGCTTATGTTAACATCTTTATTTTGTGACAATGTATTTTTAACTAAAATAAAATTTAGAACTAAAAGTCACTGCTAAATAATCTCTTGCCTCTCTACAGATTATCTGGAAGCAGACACTTTCCTGTTTTACTTTGTTTGTACTTCTTTACTGTAGTTAAAGCTGTAGCTTTATCCATTATAATTATAAGGAGCACAGAACAAATATTCCCAGATCTGCAAATGTCTTGATTGTGCATTAAATCTGACGTGCCTGACATTACTTAAGTTAGCTTGGTGGATGAGTTTGACACAATTTTTTTTATTATTACTTCAACATGCAATTTTTAAATTGGTTTCTGCTATACTGTTGTTCTGTTTATGACACTTAGAACATAAAGGGAAAAAGAAGTAAAGGTGAGTGTAGTCAAAAGGAGATAATCTTCATAGATTGACAGAACTGTGCATTGCTGGTTTTTTAAGCAAGGTAAAGCTGTACAAGAGTAGTGGTTTCTGTACAGAACTGCAGTGCTTTCAAATTCATATATTAAGTTATACCTAGCTGCATTTCTGAAGGGATGTTTATACTGGTCTGAGGCACATTTTGTTCTGTGTTGCCTAAGCAATGGAGCTAAGTGGGAAAATACAATTTCATATTAATAGAGAAAATTGGTTTGGGTATCTTCACTTGGCAGCCTTCCTCTGCTTCCTTCCTGTTGCCATAGAAATGCTGAAATATTAACGTATTTTCTTCTAAAATTCACACAGTGATTTGGCAGAAGAACAGACTACAGATCCCACCACCATGAAGACACATGCCAATAATCCACCAAAAAGGGGCGTGTCCTTGACTCGGAGCCACAGTGTGGGAGGTCCACTGCAAAACATTGATCTCTCCCAGAGACCATCTCATGGCATTTCAACAGTTAGTCTTCCAAATAGTTTGCAGGAAGCTGTGGTAAGTCTAGAAGCTGCATATTCAGTTAAAAGAAAAATATTGAAGACAATGAATTTTATAATATTCCACTGGCAGTATTCCTGTCTATTTGCAGAATGGGAATGGCCGTGCATATTTTCACCTTCTTACAACTGAAAAAAATCTTAGTTCAGTTAATCAAAAATTGCTTTTCCAATACTTTGTCAAGCAAACAGTTCTACTTGAATGAATGAAGCTATCTTTGTCTTTCTAAATATGGAAGTTCAATAGTAAAGCAATGCCAACAGCTGACTAAACACAATTGCAAGATGGAAAGTTTGTTCTGTTTCTGTGCATGTACTTACACTCGTGCTGTATATTCTGTTAGGCTGACCTGTGGAGTGGATGGGAGAAGGTGAGAGGCAGTATTAAGACTCTTACCTTTCTTGTGAAAAAAAACCTCTCTCTTACCTTTCTTGTGAAAAAAACCTCTCTCTTGGTACTTGTTATTTTCCAGAGGCTGCCTTAACATGTGAAGTAATGATTCAGTTCCACAGCTCATATAATTACTGACATTTCTCTTCACTTTCCATTGCTGCAGGCCTGGGTACTGGCTACCAGCTTAAATAGCTTAAAACTGCACAATCAGGAATAAGTCCTAACAAATTAGCATTTTTTTTCTTGTTCACATAATAGAAAAAGCATAGGTGATTGACCTTTAAGAAATCTCCAACAGTCAAAACTGGTGGTGCCATTAAATTTATTTTGTGTTCAGTAGCTCCAGAGCTTCTTCCAAGTGTCAAAAGAAACTCTACAATGGAGGTTTCCAGGGCACATAATCCTGAAAAGTATTTCTGGAAGAAAAATCTTCTTTGATTTAGTAAAAAACAAAAGCAAAAGCAAACAAAAAAACCTATCCACAATAAACAAACAAAAACAACCCCAAAACAAATGAAACCAAAACACCAAAACAATTATTTTTTTGTGCATGTTCTATTTTTAGGATCCTTTAATAAAACAGCGGAACCCTGCCCCTGTATCTGTACCTTATTTGAGCCCTTTGGTACTGCATAAGGAGCTTGAATCACTCCTGGAGAATGAGGGAGAGCAAGTAATTCATACATCCAAATTCATCAATCAACATCCCATAATCTTCTGGAACCTAGTCTGGTATTTTCAACGGTTGGATTTGCCCAGCAACTTACCTGGACTCATTCTGACATCTGAGCACTGCAATGAGGGAGTGCAGGTAAATGGCATCCTCGTGTTAGACCGGCAGGTACTACAGTGAGCAAAGCTGGAGGGCTTGGTTCAAAACAACTGCCTAAATAATTCCTGAACAGCTGAATATAAGTTCTTGGGTTTTTATCATACAAGGAGATAGCTTTGTTTCCCACAAGGATTCTTGAAGGGAGATGTGTGAAAACAGTCTTCAAATTCTAGTCAAGATGGTCCCTACTGAAAAGCCAGAGAGTAAGACTCATTGAAGAATAGGAAACAAGATGTGTCTGCAAAGAACTCAAAAACTGTAATATATTGCAATACACAGAGTGAGTTACACACTTGAGTTTATAATCCTTAAAGTTACTGCACAGTTTTTGTTGTTCTCTTCCAAGAATAGGTTTTGCTATTCAAACTCCACCAAGTATGTAGAACAGATGTATTTTTTGAGTATTTTGGCTTTCTGATTTAAAGGAGTGAATTGAAACCTATATAATTTTTATGTGTGGGTACAAGTTGAAATTAAATATGTATTTATACCTGACGCATGCCAAAAAAGTAGTATTTTCCTATATACTTGTACACACTTCAACTTTAAATTCTTTCCCTCAATTTTCAAAAAACACCCACCTAGAATTGAGAAAAATGTTCCAAGAAATTAAGGTGAAGGCAATACTAATGAAATCTAAAGCATCCTGGAAAACTACAATGCATTAACAGGGAAAACAGCAAGATGGGACGTAATATCATGTAATTATTATTTAAATAGACACATTAAGTGATAAGTTTTTCTTGCCTGGTAATTCTTATTGTATTAGTGATTCCAGAGGCACTTAATTTTATAAAATAATTACATAAGTTGTTTTGACCACCATATGTTTTTAATGGCAATAAATAGTTCATATTTGTATAGATATGAAGATTCATTCTGCTTTTTGGGAAGGCCAATACCTAGACATGAATACCAAAATGTTCATCAGGTCAGAAAATATTGCAATATGGTATGATTAGTAGTACAGATCAAGTACTATGTCTGGTGCACAAAAGATATTTCCAGATACATACTCAAAAAGATTTTCCTCAGATGCCTGTAGAAAACTAAATGGTCTTCATACATTAGAATAAACTATAAAAGATAATTAAATGCTGCAGTACTTGCGACTGCTCTGGTTGAATGCAGTTTACTGTAGAGGATAACATCTGCTCCTGTTTGTTAGATTCAAGTTAAATAAAGTTAACCTTCTTTGTTCGCAAAAATAGTAAAAGGTCAGGAGTTTTAAATAATGTAACACTGTACTGGTGTTTTTAAAATGTATTCCCTTTCCTCGTGTGTTTTAGCTTCCTTTGACATCTCTTGCTCAAGATAGCAAGCTAGTATACATCCATCTTCTATGGGACAATATCAACCTCCACCAAGAGCCGGGGGAGCCCCTCTATATATCTTGGAGAAATCTCAGTAAGTAAAACAAATGCTACAGAAAACAGAGGGAGAAGAGACTATGGAAAGAAACCGTTGGTTTATACTAGCTGAAGTGTACACAGCCCATCAATTTGCAGTATTTTTTTAGTATCTGAAGCATCTGCAATCCCTTTACATAGTATGGGTATCAAATTAGTTGTGAAAATAAGTTTGATCTGCTCATCACATGTCATACACTTACAAGATGCTCTAGACATGGTGCTAAATAACCCTCACTTGATTTGAATGCATTAAGTTTCACTTCAGTTTCACTGCATTATCTGGTAATAGCTACACAGGCATGTACAAGAAGGCTCTGTTACAAAAAAGTATCTTTTGTAACATCACCAGGCCCTTTAATAGGTACATTTGGCACCCCTCCTAACTGTCAAAAAGTGATCAAAGAAAGCCTTGTCTAGCATAAAAACAGGCAGACTGGTTAAAAAAACTTAAGGACTTTCTTACTTCTGATCATCAGAAAACCTTCCAATTCCATGTTTTTACTTTTAAAAACTATGCTAAGAACTATGTCATGTGCTAATTTTGGTTCTAATGAATTAAAAGGCATTTGTTGAAAAATGTCCTTAAAATAAAGAGGTTGATCAAAAATTACAGTCAAGAGCACAGAACATGTGTTATTTCCCTCAGATTCTGCAAAGCATATTGATGTAACCACAATAGATGAAAAGCATCCCCAAATCATCTAGCCATGAATGAAGATGCATAAATATATATATATATATATATATATATATATTCATGTAAACAAAGGAGCAAAGGACCTGTTTTAGATGTGGAAGAAAAATAGACAGGCCATATAGCAGTGTCAGAAAATATTCTGAAAACACAAAATTATGTTTTGTAAAGCATCATGTATGTCAATTTGATGAAAACATAATGTTGATGTGGTCAAGATTACTGGGCTTGGTCTGCAATTCATTTGCACACCATGTATTCCCTGCCTAATCTGTAAACTTACTTCTTTGCCAGTACATGGACTTACTATTCCCTCATGAGTTGCTGTCTTTCAGAAAATAATAGTTCAGTGTTATTCTGAGCATGGCATTTTAAGTGACAAATCATGATGGTAAATGTCTTGGTCATTTTCTTTCCTGTTTGATTCAACTGTGCATTATCTATTTCAATATGTATCAAAAAGTTGTCAGTTGATTATAGGTGGCCTTTAAGAAAGGCTTTGATAAGAAAAGTTTCTTTGCTAAGGAAAGTGACACTTCTGTTTTTTTCTTTCCCCTTGTGTAACAATAGTCTTCTTGCAGTGAACCTAATTTTTAAGTACAGCAATAATACTGAGCTAACCAGCCATCACAGGCAACATCTGATGCTGGGTATTCTTCAGTCTTGTGTATTTCTCTGTCACGTGGGACCTCTTGCACACGGATACTTGATGCATCCTGTAACTTCTGGGTAGAATTACTTTTGAGTGAAGACTATGAGCAGACAAGGTCCTTCCATTATAACAAATTTCTCTATATTGACTAGAGGTTCTCTATGTGTGCAGCCGCGTGTGTCCCTTTTTAGGG